TTGTGCGGGGAGGCTGGTGGTGCCGGGGAAACAGACCGGCCCCTTCAGCCCGGGGCTGGGAAGGCGTCCAGACCCCTGACCTCTGCTCACACAGCAGCTCCAGGCAGTCAGGCCCCGAGAGGCCCCTCACAGCTGCAGGGCCTGAGGCCAGGGAGGTGGGGGCGGGGGGAGGTGGGCAGGAGGCCTGCGGGGGGACCAGGAACATGGCCTCTGTGCCCTGCCTTCACTCTGGGGCTCGGTCCAGGCCCTGTTGGGTTCCACAGGCCTTGTTTCCGCCTCCCGTGAGCAGAGGGATGGCTCCGTGTGCGACAGGACTCGCTCGGTCATGGCCTCTTGCGGATGTGGCAAAGGTCCCCCTTCTACTCACCGTGTCCCTGGTCCCTGGCTGAACAGTGTCATCGAGGAGTAGAATTTAGGGTAGAATTTGGGGTTTGAAAGCCATATATATATATTTTTAAATATATTTTATTGATTTTTTTTTTTACAGAGAGGAAGGGAGAGAGAGAGAGAACCACTGATGAGAGAGAAATATTGATCAACTGCCTCTTGCACGCCCCCTACTGGGGATGTGCCCGCAACTAAGGTACATGCCCTTGACCGGAATCGAACCTGGGACCTGTCGCACACGGATGCTCTATCCACTGAGCCAAAACTGGTCTCGGCTGAAAGTCATATTCTTGAGGAGGCTTCTGGGAGTCTCGAGGGCCCTGGCGGCAGTCCAGCGTGGCTTTTCAGAGACCATTTTAATTAAATTCCACAGAGATTTTCTTTTTATTGTTCGAGCCCCTGTCGTATGCTGTCTGAGCACGTGGCCCTGACCTCGACTTGGGTGGAATTCAAAATAAAACAGCAAGAAACCTTGTGTGACCAAATAAAACCCGTGGGAGGAGGGAGCAGCGTCCTGGTGCGTGGCCTCCGGTTTAGGGATGAGGGTGCTCCGAGGAGCACTATGTACATTCCTAGTAGCACGTCTGCTCTCCTTTCATCTTCAGCACAGGCCCTAAGATAAGGTGACCAGACGTCCCGCTTTGAGCCGGACAGTCCCAATTTCTAACAATTTGTCCCGCGTCCCGCGGCGTTTTAAAAAAGTCCCGAAATCGTGAAAAATTGTGAAAAATCGGGACGTCTGGTCACCCTACTAAGAGGATCTCTATTCCTCTCTTGAAGACGACTCCGAGAGCTGACTCCCACCGTCACATCTCTTACCCAACCTCGGAGGGTCCCGTCTGGGTCAAACACTGCTTTCAAAGCTCCCAGGCAGCTCCCAGGGCCAGCAGGCCTGGGGTGCTCACAACCTCCCCTCTCTCTCTCTCTCTCTCTCTCTCTCTCTCTCTCTCTCTCTCTCTCCCCACCCCCCAACCCCCAGGTTACAGCTACTTCTTCAAGGGCAAGTTCTACCAGATGCTGGAGAATCACAGCCTGAGGAACGTGAAGCTTGGGAGCATCAAGAACGACTGGTTGGGCTGCTGAGCTGGCCGCAGCGCCTGCCGGCCGGCGGCATCTCTTGAGCGCCGAGCAAGGCCCCGGACGGGCCTGGCGGCCTTCTGCTCTGTGGTTCACCAGCATTCTCACCGGCACCCTGGTCACAGGAGGTTCCGGAGAGTGACTGTGCCCTGTGCCCAAGGAAAGACGCTCCTGACCCCTCCGTAACCCACTGGCCTCCCCGGCCACTCCAAAGAGAGGCTCTGATGTCCTCAACGCGGCCCTGCCCTGGGCCGCCCTGGTGCTGCCCTGGTGCTGCCACACCTCAGGCTCTCCTCCCTCCACAACCTTCTGTGGCTCCCAGCCAATGGGGACTGTCTCCAGAGGGCACTGGTGGCCCTGCAGGCTGACCTGGTCTGGCCTGGCCTGGGGGAGAGGCGTGGCCAGGAGGTCACACAGACACCTGGTGTCCCCCTGCTGGCTGCCTTAGAACCTTCTCTGGATGCACTTTGTCCTTTTCTTTCCATCATTTTTTTTTTTTTTTTTTTTTTTACTTTTCCACTTTGCAATCGCATTTCCTGCCAGAAGGACTCAGGCCTTCTGAAGTCCTGGGAGGAAGTGATGGAAGCGTCCCAGCCCACCTTGCGATGGTGCCCTGGCTCACTCTCTTACTCAGAACCTGCCCCCTCCTGTCCTCCACCGGATGGAGGAAACCCGAGCCACCGTGGCTCCCTGCCCCGCCCTCCCCTCCTCGCCCTTCAACAGTTCCCCATGGGAAATGTCAACAGTACGAATAAAGACACTAATTGAGTGGCTGTGTTTGCTCTGTGTTTATAGTCCCCGCCGGAGGAGGAGGAGGAGGAGGAGGAGGCGGCTAGCACCGGCTAGACTCCTGCTCCCCGAAGGGTGACCCCTGAGAGGTCCTCGGGTGTGTGCTGGGGCCCCTGTGCCCCGGGGAAAGGACCTTGAAGCAGCAGGGAGTGATTCTGTGGCTGTAACTGCAGCCTCTTTGAATCTCAGTTTCTTCGTGGACAATAATCCCAATTCTAACACAAATGAACAACATCCCCCGGCATGAACAGGGGGCCTACTAGGTGCCAGGCACCAGACAGGCATCATTTCGTGCGACCTTGACAACAACCTAGAGAGAGCATGGCCAGTTTTTATTGATGTGGAAACGGAGGCCCAGAGAAAAGTGATTTGCCCAGGGTCCCATAGCTACTAGGTGACAACCCAAGGCAAGGCCAAAGATGACCTAGAGGAGGAGTAATAGCCCTCAGCCCAGAGCCTGGGGCAGCAGCATGACCCTCTCCCCTTCCTGAAAAGCCACAGACAGCCAGGGGAGAAACGCCGCTAGCTTCTCTTACTGGGTCAGCTCCCATAATGCCCCTGGAGGGGAGGGCTCTTCAATTGGGGGTCGGCTGAGACTTGGGATCGGCCCTTTGGGAGTTCCATGGGGGGAAGTCTGTACCACAAAGGCCCCGGGGGGCTGCCTGGAGGAGGCCTTGGGACAAAACTCAGGGATACCACTGTCCCAGCAATACCCTCTTCTCAGCCTCTGCTCCCGGGGTGGGCTCAGCGTGGGCCAGGGCCGCTGGGTGCAGGGCCTAGGGAGAGGTGGCCTTAGGGTTCTTCTCTTCAGTGACACTGACATGACCTGGAACCCCTTCATGGTGTTGGGCTGGGGGCACACTGGGGGCACGCTGGGCCACCTTCTGATTTCACCACCTCTGCCTACATGCATCCAATGCCTGGATGCTGACAGCTCTGGGCTCCGCCCGCACTTGTGGCCCAACGTGACCTCCTGGACCTACTGCCCGATTTCTCTTAGGCCAGGATTGGGCAAACTCACTCATCCACAGAGCCAAACAGCAACAGGACAACGATTGACATTTCTTTGGAGAGCTACATTTTAAAAATATATATATATATATATTTTATTAATATTTTATAGAGAAGAAGGGAGAGAGAGAGAGCTAGAAACATCGATGAGAGAGAAACATCGACCAGCTGCCTCTTGTACACCCCTTACCGGGGATGTGCCCACAACCAAGGTACATGCCCTTGACCGGAATCGAACCCGGGACCTTTCAGTCCGCAGGCTGACGCTCTACCACTGAGCCAAACCAGTTTTGGCAGAGAGCTACATTTTTTAAACTCAGACTTCTACTAATGCCACGTCTTCAACATAGACTCGCCCAGGCAGGCCGTGGTATTTTGTGGAAGAGCCACACTCAAGGGAGCCGCATGTGGCTCTCGAGCCGCAGTTTGCCGTCCACGGTCTTAGGCCAAAGCTGTGGGCTGATTTCAGCCCTGTGGGGTAGAACTTTATCTTTTTCCTCCCCCAGAGGAGAACAGAAGCTCAGAGCGGTGAAGCGGGTAGCTGAAGGCCACACGTCTCTCCGCCGGTGGGGATGAAAGATGCCGATGCCGGGAGGACGGATGCAGGAGCAGCCGCCCAGGCCTCGGACTCAGGCTCCCCTCCGGCCTGCAGGCTGCTGTGAGCTGTCGCTCAGCAAGGATAAGCCATCCACCATCTTCATCCGACTCCCAGGCACGTAGGGCCTGACCCACTGGTCTCAGATTTCAGAAAACCTCCTCTCCCGCTCCCCACAACCGCCCACTTCGGTCCAGACAGGCCCTTGAACTTCCGCAGGGTGAAATGGCGCCACAGGGCAAGTCATTTCCCTTCTGGGGGACCAGGTTCCTCATTTAGCGAGGAGGGCCAGAGTGTTTTTTTGTTTTATTTTTTGTTTTGTTTTTACCTTCCTCACTATTCCCCCACCATCAGTCCCTGTTTCCGGTGGAACAGATTCCATTCCTGTTATTGATTTCTATTAGTCAAGACCCTCTGTTCTAACTGGGAAATAAACATCCAGTGCCCACAGGTCTTTTGTTTTGTTTTATAATATATTTTATTGATTTTTTTTTTTTTTTTACAGAGAGGTAGGGAAAGAGATAGAAGAGTTAGAAACATCGATGAGAGAGAAACATCCATCAGCTGCCTCCTGCACACCTCCCACTGGGGATGTGCCTGCAACCAAGGTACATGCCCTTGCCCGGAATCGAACCTGGGACCCTTCAGTCCGCAGGCTGACGCTCTATCCACTGCGCCACACCGGTTTGGGCAATGCAGACAGGTTTTAACAAAAGCAGAACGCACAGCCCATAAAACCCACCTGGATGCAGTCACTCCCTTTCCTGAAGCAACCCGGGCTCCCCCCGCCCATGGCTGGATGCAGGGCCTGTGGGCCCCCATTTACAGAGGGGGGGCAGCAGGGTCACGGAGGCAGGGGTTTGGCCAGCCTCTCAGAGTCAGTAAAAGCGATGGATGGCAAGTCCAGGTCTGCTCAACCCTGAGGCAGAGAACTCAGGGGGTGCGTTGTTCTTAAAGGGGAAGCACACAGTCCCAATGGGCAGAGCTGCATCCCCCAGGAGGAACATCCCAGCCACACACCTAAGCGGGCGGGGCGGGGCCAAGTGACTGGGCGGGGCCAGGGCCCGGGGGCGGGGCCAGACCGGCCGCATTGGTGAGCTGGCGCCTGCGCAGATCCCGCCGCCGGGCTCGGGCTCCGTGCGCCTCTGGTCCAGCTCCCCGGCGACGCGGGTCCCGCCGTCCGATCCGCTCCGCGCGAGCCCCGCTGCGCCATGAGCCGCTGCGCCGAGGCGGCCGCCGTGGCGGCCACGGTGCCGGGCGTGGGGGGCGCCGGGCCGCGGCCGCAGATGGTGCCCCGCCAGGCGTCCTTCTTCCCGCCGCCCGTGCCCAACCCCTTCGTGCACCACCCGCGCATGGGCACCGCCAGGCGCATCCAGGTGGGTGTGCGCGTCCGGGAGGGGGCACCGGGCGGGGGGCGTGGGTCAGAGCGAGGAGGCATCAGGCGAGGGGTGTGGGTCAGAGAGAGGAGGCATCAGGTGAGGGGTGTGGGTCAGAGAGAGGAGGCATCAGGCGAGGGGTGTGGGTCAGAGCGAGGAGGCATCAGGCGAGAGGTGTGGGTCAGAGAGAGGAGGCATCAGGCGAGGGGTGTGGGTCAGAGAGAGGAGGCATCAGGCGAGGGGTGTGGGTCAGAGAGAGGAGGCATCAGGCGAGGGGTGTGGGTCAGAGAGAGGAGGCATCAGGCGAGGGGTGTGGGTCAGAGAGAGGAGGCATCAGGCGAGGGGTGTGGGTCAGAGAGGAGGCATCAGGGGAGGGGTGTGGGTCAGAGAGAGGAGGCATCAGGCGAGGGGTGTGGGTCAGAGCGAGGAGGCATCAGGCGAGGGGTGTGGGTCAGAGAGAGGAGGCATCAGGGGAGGGGTGTGGGTCAGAGAGAGGAGGCATCAGGCGAGGGGTGTGGGTCAGAGAGAGGAGGCATCAGGGGAGGGGTGTGGGTCAGAGAGGAGGCATCAGGCGAGGGGTGTGGGTCAGAGAGAGGAGGCATCAGGGGAGGGGTGTGGGTCAGAGAGAGGAGGCATCAGGGGAGGGGTGTGGGTCAGAGCGAGGAGGCATCAGGCGAGGGGTGTGGGTCAGAGAGAGGAGGCATCAGGGGAGGGGTGTGGGTCAGAGAGGAGGCATCAGGCGAGGGGTGTGGGTCAGAGAGAGGAGGCATCAGGGGAGGGGTGTGGGTCAGAGAGAGGAGGCATCAGGGGAGGGGTGTGGGTCAGAGAGAGGAGGCATCAGGCGGGGGGTGTGGGTCAGAGAGAGGAGGCATCAGGCGAGGGGTGTGGGTCAGAGAGAGGAGGCATCAGGCGGGGGGTGTGGGTCAGAGAGAGGAGGCATCAGGGGAGGGGTGTGGGTCAGAGAGAGGAGGCATCAGGCGAGGGGTGTGGGTCAGAGAGAGGAGGCATCAGGCGAGGGGTGTGGGTCAGAGAGAGGAGGCATCAGGTGAGGGGTGTGGGTCAGAGCGAGGGTCAGAGAGAGGAGGCATCAGGCGAGGGGTGTGGGTCAGAGAGAGGAGGCATCAGGCGGGGGGTGTGGGTCAGAGAGAGGAGGCATCAGGGGAGGGGTGTGGGTCAGAGAGAGGAGGCAGAGGCAGGAGAGGGACTTGGGCCAGAGAAGGTGCATCAGGGTAGGTGTGGGTCAGGCGTCAGAGAGAGGAGGCAGCCCGGCGAGGGGCGAGGATCTGAGATGAGAGGGTGTGGGGTGCCCTAGGTGTGACAGGGGAGGCATCTGAAGGGGGCGTGCGTCTGGGAAGCAAGGGCTCCGAGGGAGAAAGAGCCATGGATCGGAGAGGAGAGGCGTGTGCGGGGGCTGTGAGTCCGCAAGGGGCGCAGGTGTGGGTCCGAGGATGGAGTGGCCTGGAGGATGGTCTGGGGCGGGAGGGGGTGTGTGAGGAGAGAAGGTGCAGGTCCTCCCAGGAGGAGGCAGAGCAGGCCAGTGGCCGAGGACACGCTCTTTCCATGCGGAGAAGGGGGAACGGATGCGTGAGAACTTCCTTTGGGGTTTGTGAGAACGTAGCTGGCGGTCACATTCACAGGAGAGGGGGTTGGGGGAATTTGTTTGTTGTTTGTTTGTTGAGCGGGTCTGGGATGGGAAGAGTGAGCGAGCACGCAGAGAGCCCAGGTCTGGAGTCGGCACAATAAGTAAGACTGAGAAGATCCAGAGGCATCAAGGGTAGGGAATGGGATCTAGGAAAAGGGATGGTGAGGGTCAGCTTAGAGTGTTTCTTTTTGGTACCAGTCTTCTCCCAAACACCCCTCCTACGTTCAAAGATGAGAGGCAGCGGGGACATTCCTCCCCTGTTAAACATGGCCGCACGCAAAAAGGAAGTGTCCCTTCCTGTGCCTTTTCTTGTAAAGCGCTGCCTTTCCCACGAACAGTCAACCCTCACTCTCTGGACTTCCCCTTCAGTGAGGTTCGCGATCAAAGAACAAGATAGACTGCAAGCTCCATGTGTCCGGTGCGGTCAGTAAGGGGGGTGGAGGGTGGGGTGAAATGTCACAAGTTCCTTTCGTTTGGGTTTGAAATCGTGTGACTGATGCCCTAAGACCATCGTCCCGGGCAGTGGAGGCAGGCGGAGAGCTGGGCTGAGCAGCGGGGGAGGCGGTGAGCGATGACAGACGGGTGTCTGGTGAAAGAAGGGGGTGAACGAGGAAGAGGAAGACCATGTGTAGTAACACCTCTTGGGAAAGAAAGATGTTTGAAGCTTTGATCTTCGCGTCTGTCAGCTGGGAGAGGTTCCCATTGAGTCTTAAACATTTGGAAACACGTAGACATTTAGAAACATGGAGTGCCTGTCCCACAAGATTCATTGTAGTCAAGTCCGCCCTACTTGAATGAAAGTCTGTCCATCTACTGGGCGTCATACTTTTGAAAGAGGATCAGAGTGCCATTATTATAAGGATTTGTATTGCACCTGGAGTGAATGACTTTTTTTTAAATGTATTTATTGATTTTTTTTTTTTACAGAGAGAAAGGGAGAGGGATAGAGTTAGAAATATCAATGAGAGAGAAACTTTGATCAGTTGCCTTCTGCCCACCTCCCACGGGGGACGTGCCCTCAACCAAGGTACACGCCCTTGACCGGAATCGAACCTGGGACCTTTCAGTCCGCAGGCCGACGCTCTATCCACTGAGCCAAACCGGTTTCGGCAGTGACTGTTTTTTAATAGTGTAGCCCGTTAACGGTCGAGGGACTTCCAAACACTAACTGCCAGAGCTAAAGTACAGTGGACAGATCTCGGATCTTCGTCAGAAAACATCTCAGGTCCTGCCCTCTGTTCGCTGTAGGACTCTGGCCGAGGACTCTGCTCCGGACGGGCACTGTCCTCTTCTATTAAATTGGAATAAAGTACATCAAAAGAGGAACAAAATTAAGTGAAGTCATGGGTGGAGAAACCTGGTATTGTTCGCTGATCTTAATGTGGACCATTATGCTATCGGTTGTCTGCACTTTTAAGGTAGTGCTTAAAATGGCCTATTTGTATGGAAAGGAATTGGATGTAGCCTGAGTATTTATTTAAACTAAAAGTAGACCAGAGATACAAGATAAGTGTCAATGGCTTGAATGGTCCAGGTCGGTGGTCGGCAAACTGCGGCTCGTGAGCCACATGCGGCTAATGGCTAATGGGTTTGCCGACCACTGCTAGACTCCATGTTACTGTGTAGTTGGAAACTGTGAGGATTAGGCAAAGAGGTAAAGGGTAGTGTATGGCTGCTCGGCAAACTCATTAGACAACAGAGTCGCAAGCCGCAGTTTGCTGACCACTGGTCCAGGCAAAGGTAGATGCAATTGAAAACCAATGTTGGCTGTATTACCCCGTTTAAAAGACAGATAGACTTCCATTGAAGGATGACTTGCTACGACTCACTCAGGCTAAATTTCACTTGAATTCAGCTTTTCTCTTGAATGAGGATCAGTGTCCTGCTCAAGGACTCTTATCACTTTTGCATCTCATGTCCGGGCTTTGCTTGGTCCCTCACCTTCCTTCTCTTTTTTGACTCGTTAAGGATCTGCTACTTAGGGACATGGGGAAAAAAAAGTAGCCTGGCTTTCATTTCTCCCGTAGACTATGGGGTGGAAATGAGTGTGTAGTTTAGTAATTGTGGTCATTTACCATATAAAACTATTTGTTGAATGCCTACTATGTGCAGGCACAATGCAATTCTCTGGAGATCCAGCAGTGGGAAGAGAAATAAGGACTCTGCCTACTTAAAGCTTATATTTCACAGAAGAAGAAAAAAAACTAAACAAGTACAAAAGCATATAGCTTCATGTTTCTGTAAGCTCAGAGAAGAGGATAAGCCTGGTAGAGTGCTGAAAGAATGCCTCCCTACCGAGGTGAGATATTCCCAAATAGAACTATGATGGAGAATCCTCTGAATTTTTCGGAATTACTCAACATTGCTTTCCTGTTAAGTACTCTTATTTGTTGCAAACATGGAAGAGGCACAGAAAAAAAAAAAAAAAAAAGGTTGCTCCCTATTTGACAACGTACTCAATTAAAATCCATGTTACCTGCTCATTTTGAATGTCGGTGAACCTTCTAGGACAGTGGTCGGCAAACTCATTCGTCCACAGAGCCGAATATCAACAGTACGATTGACATTGCATTGGAGAGCCAAATTTTTTAAACGTAAACTTCTTCTAATGAAACTTCTTCAAAATAGACTCACCCAGGCCGTGGTATTTTGTGGAAGAGCCACACTCCAGGGGCCAAAGAGCCGCATGATATTCTGAAACCTCATTACAGCTTTTCCTTCAGGGTCTATGTGATGGTCCTTTCTTCCATTCAGGATTATCTCTTGGCCATTTGCCAGGCTGTCTTTATTTGACCTGCTTTGTAGTCAACACGCTGCCGCCATCTGTTCTCTGCAGAATTACAGTTCTCATTAAAAGGTACCCTTAAGAGATCGAAAAGGCAAACCATGGGATGGGAGAAAAGATTTTCAATACACCTGCCGATCAACAAAAGACCATTCTAAAGAATAGATACAGAACGCCTACCAATGGATATGAGTAAGACTAACCGCCCCATAAAAATGGGCCGAAGACTTGAACAGGCACTTATTTTAAGAAGTTAAAGGGATGACTAACCAACACCTGAAAAACAGGCTCAGTCTATCCAGGACGTGCGAGTTAAAACCTCCTCGAGAGCATCCTCCACCCGCCAGTGCGGCCGCAAGGACTGACAACACCAAGTGTTGGCGAGGAGGTGAGGCAACAGGAACTTGCATACTTATGTGGAGACATGCAGAATGGTACACCCACTTGGGAAACCAGTTTGGCAGTTTCTTACAGAGCGAAGCATGCCCTGACCCAGCAGTTTCACTCCCTGTGATATGAACATATGTGTTCTCACAAGGACGTGAACGTTAATCCTCATAGTTCAAAAAAACTTATAATACGGCCAACGGTCCACGAACAGAAGAGTGGATAAATGAACTGTGACCTGTCCACACAATGGAATGGTACTGTGCCATTCAAAAGACTGTACCACTTATGCATAGGGCTGCCTGGGGGAATCTCAGAAATACGAAGTGCACGAAGCCAGGCATAAAAGTCCATAGGTGTGGACTTGATACCATTTATATGAAAATCTAGGACAGGCAAGACTATAGTGAAAGAAAGTCTCAGTGGTGGCCAAGGACTGGGGCGAGTGTATTGACCGCAGCGAGGCACAAGGGACCTTGTTGGGTGACCGGAATGCTCTATACCTTGATCGTGGCGGTGTTTGCCTGGCAATATACATTTGAAAAACCCATAATCTATACACTTCAACTAGGTGCATTTTATTTTATGTAAATGATCCTATATAATAAAGAGCTAATATGCTAATTAGACCCAACAGCAGAATGACCGTCAGGACGACCTTCAGATGACCTTCCAGATGAACTTGGGGCTGCGAAGGCCGAGGCAGCTGGGGCTGTGAGAGCCCCTTGCACGACTTTTGGGCATTGGGCCCTCTAGTGTCTTAATAAAGTTGATGTTTTAAAGATGCTAACAACACCAGAGGTTGGCCAGTATGTACAATGGCTGGAAGGGGACATTTTACAAAGGATACAGCCACTTATTTTCTTTATCAACTTTGTCTTTCAGACGTTCTTGCTTGGAATTGTCCTGCTTCCGGTCCGGGCCTTACTGCTTGGCTTAGTTTTATTACTGGCATGGCCATTTGCTGCGATTTCAACAATGTGCAGTCCTGACAAGCTGACCCATCCAATAACGGGTTGGAGGAGGTAAGAGATAGTTACGTCTAAATATTACGTAAGTCACCCTACAGACGTTCCGTTAGCGATCGATAGTTTTATCTTACTGCTCCCTTCTCAATTTTCATTACTCGTTTTTGTTTCTCAGGTGAGACTGTTCTTAATTGATCATATGCAGGAATTACTGCCCAAGTACAGATCATCTTTTGTGGAAGTTGTTACTTCCTAATATTAAAATATTTTGTTTTCTGATTTATTGCCGAAGAGTGATAGATGCCTGGTTCTCTAAGACCCGGTTAGTGTACCTGACACTAAAATAGCTGGCTTCTTTTGCTGTTCTTCCTGAGTTTCCGCGTTTGCTTTTGTGCCTCTGTAATAACTACATACTTCAGCCAGTGATGTAATTAAGTGGGCAAATTATAGTCTATTAACTCATTACTTTAATGATCATTATTATTATTTTAATCCTCACCCGAGCATATTTTCCCATTGATTTTTAGGGAGAGTGGAAGAGAGAGGGAAAGACAGAGAGAAATATTGATGGGAGAGAGACACACCTCGATGGGTTGCCTCCTGCACACACCCCAGCCAGGGCCTAGGCCAGGGAGGAGCCGGCATCTGAGGTATGTGCCCTTGACCGGAATTGAACCCGGGACCCTTCGGTATGCAGGCCAATGCTCTATCCACTGAGCCAAACCAGGTAGGGCTTTAGTAATTATGATTAATAACAATTTAATGTTTCATCAGTAGAGCCAAGTTTTATTAATCATTAGCATGGAGGCCACTGGAACTGCTTGTCACACAGTATGTAATTAGCCTGGTGCTAGAGAATGGACTGATGATAAACTGAAGTTACTAGGAAAAGTCCATCCCCTTGGGGCAGAACCCACTGGTTGCCATATGTACGTCTATTCTGAAAAGCGAAGACCCTTCACGTGGACTCCTGAGATTTCATAGAAATCCATAGGTGGGCTTTAGGGCACTGTTCAACTTTCTGAAATTATGCCCATATTTTTTGTACACAAAGGTCTATACCTATTTATCTCAACCTCAAGTGAGATTATGTACCCCAAAATTTTGAGAAACACTGTTTTAGAAGCTTTTTAGGAAATAGGCAATTGGCCGTTAAGTTCATGTTTGAGTGAACAAATGGCAACATGAAACACACTGACGCCCGTTTGAACCGGAATTAAATCCATGGCCCACAATGCCCCGGGGAGAAATTATGCCACCTCCACCCTTGCCAGTCAGACTTCTTTGTTTTAGTTTTATTTTAAAAAATATATTTTATTGATTTTTTACAGAGAGGAAGGGAGAGGGATAGAGAGTTAGAAACATTGATGAGCAAGAAACATCAATCAGCTGCCTCCTGCACACCCCCTACTGGGGTTGTGCCTGCAATCAAGGTACATGCCCTTGACCGGAATTGAACCTGGGACCATTGAGTCCGCAGGCCAATGCTCTATCCCACATGTGTCAAACACAAGGCCCTCGGGCCAAATCCGTCCCGCCAGGCCTTGCAATGTGGCCTGCACCGTGCTGTCATCACTGCACTCCGCTGCGTTTCCATCACAATGACAGTTTATGACTGTTCAGTAAACCATTCGGCCCGCGATTTAGGCTGGATTTTAGATTTTGGCCCCTTCTCTGATTGAGTTCGACACCCCTACTCTATCCACTGAGCCAAACTGGATAGGGCCAGACTCCTTTGTTTTATAACTCAAGGTTGTCTGTCCTTAAAAACATACTGTAAGTGACATTTTTCATCACCCACTGATTCCTTTCCCTTATGTCCTTGGTTGCTATGATAGTGGCTGGTAGAGACCCATGATAAGGAAAAGAACAGCCTAAAAGGTCAGGAAACAGATCAAATAAAGGTTGGCAAAGGAAGTCCTAGTTTCTTCAATGGAGCCTCCTCTGAAACAGATGACATTGGCGTTATTACACAAACACTAGCCTTTTAGCCGTTAAAAACGTATCTTACCTAGAAGTTTTTCGTGACTGTGACTAGGGGGCACTCTGGAATGTGGTTGTCAGAAGCTGCATCGCTATAATCAGAAACAGGACTTGTGGGAACCCTGGGAGAGAGGGCGCTTTTTATCACTACATCCACAGAGATCTCAACTCGAAACGAAAAGGGCAAGCAGGAGAGAGACGGTCATTTCCCCGTGCCTCTGGGAAAGTCCTCTGGCTTCTGGTCTCACTTCTGCTTGCTGTGACGTCAGGGGCAGACCAGCTTCCGCAGTCGCTCGTTGCTTCAGAGTTCCTCTCTATCGCATTACGAGATAGTTGAGACAATGAGGTGGGAAGGCCGCCTACTAAAACGCTCATCGTTGTTTCAGGGGCGGATGCATGTAGTATTGTATGTACATACCGAGATGTCTGTCCCGTGTTTCCATTTCTAGGGAGTTTATGTTTTGGTTTCTCGATGCATGTGAGTCTGTCAAGGACAGGGGCTGGGCCTTCCTTGTCTTGTGTGCCCAAAATTGTGTTTCCTGGCACAATTAAAAAAAAAAAAATCAAGTATTTTTTTAAAAATTTATTTTATTGATTTTTTAAGGGAGGAAGGGAGAGGGATAGAGAGCTAGAAACATCGATGAGAGAGAAACATCGACCAGTTGCCTCCTGCACACCCCTTCCTGCCCACAACCGAGGTACATGCCCTTGACTGGAATCGAACCTCACCTTTCAGTCCGCAGTCTGATGCTCTATCCACTGACCCAAACCGGTTTCGGTTCCTGGAACAATTTGATGAATGACCTATCCTTTGGGAAATGTTAGCCGTTAGATTTCCAGAATTGTCTAAGGGAGTGACAGCGAGGTGGTGGATTTTCTTAAGATTCTTGATGATGTCTTAGAAGGCTGGCTTTTAAAGAATTATTCCTAAAATAACGCCGAGGACAGTTTCAGCATGAGAATTCTGAAAGTGTTTGGGGAGATGGCAGCGTCTTTGTTACTCATACCCAGGGTGCTTGCCTGGCAGGGCAGTACTATTTGAATTTCTCAGAGGGATGTGTGTTGAAAACTCACTCTGTTCACTTTAGAGTCACAGAAGAATAGAGCCACTTACTAGCCATATGTCCTTGGAGAGAAAAAAAATCACTTCTCTGCACCTCAGTTTGCCCATCTGTAAAATGGGGATAACAATAAGTGACACCGGTTGTATAAAATTGGGTTGAGGATGAAAGGAATGAATATAGGTAGGGAATTTCAAGTAGTTCCTGGCAGAAAGCCTTGTTCCAGGAAAGTGTTAATTATGCTTCTTTACTTGTATTTTATTTTTTAATTTAAAAAAATATATTTTATTGATTTTTTAAGGTATTTATTTATTTTTATTTTTAAAAATGTTTTATTGATTTTTCACAGAGAGGAAGAGTGAGGGATAGAGAGCTAGAAACATCGATGAGAGAGAATCATCCATCAGCTGCCTCCTGCACACCCCCCACTGGGGATGTGCCCGCAACCAAGATACATGCCCTTGACCGGAATCGAACCTGGGACCTTTCAGTCCGCAGGCCGACGCTCTATCCACTGAGACACACCCGTTTCGGCTTTACTTGTGTTTTAAAACGAAGTGTTCTGATCTGTTCGGGGTCCTGCGCTGTGTTTTGGAGTAAAAGCCCAGCGTTAGCTGCAGTGGGCAGAGCTGACTCTGTCTTTTCCGTGTGTGTGTTCGCAGGAAGGCCACTGAGCCCGTGCTGCGGTTCCTGGGCCGGGCCATGTTCTTCTCCATGGGCTTCTCCGTGACCGTGAAGGGGAAGATCGCCAGCCCCGTGGAGGCCCCGATTTTCGTGGTGGCCCCTCACTCCACGTTCTTCGACGGGATTGCCTGCATCGCCGCCGGGCTACCGTCCATGGTTTCTCGAAACGAGAATGTGCAGGTGCCTCTGATAGGCAGTAAGTACTTGTAAGGTAACAAAGTTTTTCACGTTCCTGCATTGTAAAAATCATATTTCGTTGACTGGCAGATTGTTTAGAATATATTTTATTGATTTTTTTTACAGAGAGGAAGAGGGATAGAGAGTTAGAAACATTGATGGGAGAGAAACATCAATCAGCTGCCTCCTGCACACTTCCTACTGGGGATGTGCAGGTAACCATGGTACTCGCTCTTGACCAGAATCGAACCTGGGACCCTTCAGTCCACAGGCTGCCGCTCTATCCCTTGAGCCAAACCAGTCAGGGCTCCTGCCAGATTTTTAAGACACTTGAAAACGATGAAATATCTCAAAACATATTTACCTTCCTTTTAATGAGGTGCTATATCGAAAGAATGACTTTATGAAAAAAGATTAGACTTCCTTATATAATTCTTTTAAAATGGTACCTTTAGCACTATACCATCATCTCTTTCTGTACTTATATATCAGAGGCCAGTTTTTCAAATACCAAACATGCTTGATTCTTTTGGAGGGATAAATGTGACCACAGAATTTGTGGGAGCACCCGATGGATGCATGCTGCTTCATGAATGTCTCTTTAGGGATCAGGCCGACGAACACACTACAAGTTTTGTCCTACCTCTGCTTTTTTCCTTTCCCCCAAATCTCTCTGAGAGACCAATGTGTAAATCTCTGAAAACGATGATGTGGAACAATAAGTACTTCCTGCCATAAAAAGACAGTGAAGCAAGTGGAATGTTTTTCCCACCAGATGCTTGGGCACCTCCCGAGGGTAATAGTCTCCAAGTAACTGGTCCCAAGGTCATGGCAAGCATAGACGATATTGAGAGTGTGAAAGTCGCCCGATGTTGCCTTGGTACCATGCAGAAATGATAGTCACTCATGCAGCTAAGAGCGACACTCCTTCTCAGTGTAACTCTCTGCTTTGCGTAACGGGCGTTTTCCTGGAAAATTGCGTGGCAATGGATTTTTGGCAAATTCAGATCTAGGTTGCCTGTGCTAGGAAGGGATGCATTTCAAAGATTGTTGTACCGAGAATTTTAGTAAAATGACTAGTAATTGCTTTGGAGTCCTGTGCGCTATGAATTCACATGCTCAGTGTTCAGGCTGTCCCTAAAATAAAACCAGATCATCTTGCCACGTCAAAAGCCTAATGTCAACTGAGGAAGAAGACCTATAGGGAACAGATTGCATCGGCTGCTTTTCATATTCCTGCTGCCGATGTCTGTGAAGCCAATGAAATAGTTTTAGCTAGGGATGTCCACCTCTCCTTTTAGAACCGGAAGCTAAGTTCTAACTAACGTTGAATTAGAGGGCGTGTGTGTGTGTGTGTGTGTGTGTGTGTGTGTGTCTTTTTTAAGTTGTTCTCTTTTATTTGCTTTCATTTTAATTTCCATACAGTTTGTTTAATGATTTACCCAGTGTTATCACATTGGTAGCGGTAGCCAAAAAAAAAAGAAAGAAAAGAAAAGAAAAGAAAGGCTTGGTTGTAAATTTTGTTTGTTTTAAAGGACTGTTACGGGCTCTGCAGCCAGTGTTGGTATCCCGTGTGGACCCAGATTCCCGGAAAAACACCATAAATGAAATCATAAGGCGTGCCACGTCGGGAGGGGAATGGCCCCAGGTAAAAACACACAAGGCGATGTTGGGAATTGAGTGTAAGAAGTCCTCTTTGTCACGGGGTACTCATGGAACTAAATGTATCACTCCTTTTTTAGTCCCCCCAACGCTTTGAACCAAGTTTTACTACGTGTTCTAAAAAGTAACTCCCTGCCTCTGAATTTATTTTCCTTTGCAAAGATGAGATGCAAATGCACCGTTGTACTCAACAGGGTGGAGGGTTTATACTAAAAAAGGAATTGAGGTCTTGACTCTTCTCTGAAGTTTTTTGGGATAGAGATTTTCAGTTCGGGGGTGTGTGGGGGGGTGCGTGTCAGAATCACCTGTAGAAGCTTTTCACACTTGACAGTCTCATCACCCCCCTTCCCCTGGAATGAATGCCTTTTGAAGGTGAGGGAGGGGCAGCACTGATGGGATAAAGAGGGCCCCATGGGTGATGCTGGTAAGTATTTCTGTACTGTTGCCCAGGTGAAAGCAGCCGATCGCTAGCAGAACTCATGGCTCTGCAGTGATCTGGCCATCCCTTATGATGTGTAGATGTTAGAGTACCCAGAAGAGCGGGGCCCACTGGGAGGCTGTAGAAACCAAAGCATGTGAGGAAACTATATATATAAAAGCCTAAGCGACTGTTACGACCTAACGACCAGTTGACTAGTCGCTATGACGCACACTGACCACCAGGGGGCAGATGTTCAACGCAGGAGCTGCTCCCTGGTGGCCAGTGTTCTCCCATAGCCAACCTCACGCAGCAGGCCAACCTCCTGTGGTCCCTCCACCCTGGCCGGCTGGCCCCAATCTTCTCAATATGGATTGGGCAAGATGGCCCCCATAGGCCCTAATGGCCTGCCAGGCTGAGGGACCTCACCAGTGCACGAATCTGTGCACTGGGCCTCTAGCGATTTAATAAGAGTGAATGGGGAAAACTGGCATTTGGAATAAGGATGTCATTTTTTTCTCTTTGGATCCAAAGAATAGATCTAGGTCTGGTAGGTGAAAGTTAACACACAGGTAGATTTTCACTCATTTTGCTCAACTTGAGGGACTTACTGTCCAGAGGTAGAATCATCAGAAACCATGTGCGGGGGGGATATTATAGAAAGAGTTCAAGCATTGGAAATGCTAGTTGACTTTTAATGCCCCCTCCAACTCTGAGACTTCGTGATTCATTGTTAACAGGGCAGCTAGAGAATGACCGCTGGAGGAATCACAGTTGCTATTTGGGTCTCATTGTCATCGGAATCCAGTTTTTTTTTTTAAATTGGAGGGTGGAATGGCACCTACTCATCATTTCAATTTTACAAGCCACCTTTTATAGTGGTGATGTAGCCTAATGACGTTTCTCTCCCTAATTATTATTATAAAATACTTATTACTAGCTACAGGGGGAGCAGGAATTTTCTGTGTTGTTTTATGTGCTTGACGATTTAACTCCTTGCTCATTTCTACAATAAATGCCTCAGAGAATGAGTGAATGGGGAAACTGACTCTGCTGAGTGTCTTTCACACGGAAAACACAAGGAAGTGTGCTCACAGCTAAAATCACTTCCACAGAGAGATATAAAGTTGTGTTTCCTAAGTCCACAAATTCAAGGAAGGACAAAGCATATTGTAAACAACTCGCTCCTCCTTTTCCCTCCGGGCCTTTAGCTGGGAGTGATATCATTCAATGGGAGAACTGAAACAAAGAAGTAGGAAGTGAGGTGGTTGAGGGTGTAGAGCTGCTGCAGAAAGAATGTAATATTGCCTACACGTGCCCTTGACCATGACTTAGGTCTAAATCTGTTAGGATCCTACATTACCATCAGGATATAAGTGTATATTCTATTCAAAGCTTTAATCTATTTTCTAATTACCTTATTGGTCAGACTACCCTTCATGTGAAGGAAAAGCAAATGCCTGTCATCTGATTCTGGCTTTCATTAGAATCAAGGGTGAGCCTTGGGTCTCGTCTATGTCTTGTAAGAATTGGCAGCTATCTGTGTGATAATGAGAAAGTGAATAATGAGCTAATCGATTCATTAGACTGAAATATTAAATCTATTCCTTTTCTTTCAAGATACTAGTTTTCCCAGAAGGTACTTGTACTAATCGCTCCTGTTTGATTACTTTTAAACCAGGTGAGATCAATTAAATTATGTATTGTGGCAAAGTCGTATGGGCGATTTCTCGAATGATTTTATCGTAATGCACCACGTAACGCGTTGGTTTGCTCTGAGCGTTGCTTCTTTTCCGGCAAAAATGTCTTAATGGTGTGAAGCCACAGAATGCACTTCTTTACTTTCTCTTTTGGTATCAGAACTGCTTCTTCCTTGGAGAGAAAGAGAGAGAGAGAACATGTGTGTGTGTGTGTGTGTGTTTGAGCAGAACCTACCGGTGGATTTTCCTTTTTCTCCAGGGACGTGGTCACAGGCACCCAGGGTCCTGTGTCATCAAGTGGAAACCTATTTCGATGATCATTATCATGCCTTCTAAGGCTTGTTTAATTTTTTAATATTACCAAGCCATGAGTTTGATAGTAATGTGTAATTTTACAGCACTTGGTAATACTTTATTTTTTTAAAATATGTTTTATTTATTTTTTACAGAGAGGGAGAGAGAGGGATAGAGAGTTAGAAACATCGATGAGAGAGAAACATCGATCAGCTGCCTCCTGCACATCCCCTACTGGGGATCTGCCCGCAACCAATATACATGCCCTTGACCGGAATCGAACCTGGAGTCCTTCAGTCCACAGGCTGACGCTCTATCCACTACCAAACCGGTCAGGGCACTTGGTAATACTTTAAAGTGTTTCTGTATTGGCTGCCAGAATGCTCATAGCCGAAGTTAAAAACCCACTTTTGTCCACTGCGGTAGTTCTGGCTTCAAGCATTTGGTGTCATCTACAGTAGATTCTCTTACTTCCCCTTTGTCTTGATTTTTGCCATGGCTTTGGGAAAGAGAATCCTGCTGAGTAATAGGTATTTGGGAAATGAAAGCCCATGGGGATGTCAGTAAGGGAATATTTTAAGGGACAGACCCAACGTTTCATACTTTGCTTGCATAATTCTGGGTTTTCAAACTCTCGAGTTTTGGCAAACACGAGGGATTTACCAACATTTTGCAAGTATCCTCTTATGTGTGCTCTGAAAGCATCTGCTTCTGTATGCCATTTCCTACTCATCTTCTCTGCTGTGAGACCTGCACGCACACAAAGCCCGTGTAATCAGATTCCATCCTGCTCCTAGGCGCCTTCATCCCAGGAGTGCCCGTGCAGCCCATCCTCCTCCGGTACCCCAACAAGCTGGTAAGCACCCCGTTTCCCTGGGCGGAGACTTTCGGACATCCTGACAGCACAGATGCCCCAGGGCCCCTTCTGACCATTTGAATAACGGTCTGGAGAGAGGAGTGGTGGGAGCAGAGGGGAAGTCTCATTCCCCTTGTTTTTTTTTTTTTTTTTTTTTTTTTTTTTTGTGTGTGTGTGTGTGTGTGTGTGTGTTTTAAATATATTTTATTGATTTTAGAGAGGAAGGGAGAGGGAAAGAGAGAGAGAAACATCAGTGATGACAAAGAATCATTGATTGGCTGCCTCCTGCACGCCTCCTACTGGGGATCGAGCCCACAGCCCTGGCATATGCTCTTGACCGGAATCGAACCCGGGACCCTTCAGTCCACAGGCCGATGCTCTATCCATTGAGCCAAACCGGCTAGGGCACTTCGCATTTCTTTAAACTTTTCTCTCAGATTACCCACTCTCTCTCTTTAGGAAAACTGATTTTTTGGGGGGATTCTGTAAGCAAATTCATTGTCCAGATAAGTTCCTATTCAGTGGAAAATAGCTAAGCATGCATGATATTTTTTAAAAGCGCTCCATCCACCGTTGTTTAACAATAAGAACGTTCTGGCTTTACTTTTCCAACATGACGCTTTTCAGTTAGAAAGCCCATGCCTACCAGTATGGGAATGAGGTTTCTGATTCCCTTTGGTAATCTCTGAACGAACAGCTTCAATTCTCTTTCATTGTAGGACACGGTGACGTGGACGTGGCAAGGATATACGTTGTAAGTCGCTCCCCTCTATTATTGACATACATCTCATGCTAGTGAAGAAGAAGAAAGATTTTTTTTTTTTAAAGACTTGTTCTGAAAGTAAAGATTTCTCATCAGATCCTTACATCTGGTAGCTGACCCGTCTCTGTAGACAGCACCCCTCTCTTGCCCATGAGCCTCGTGGTGCACATGTACACAGTCCCTGCCTTGTCACATTCTAATGGGTCTTCGGGGCTTACCCACCGCCTCTTGCCAACACCCCAGCAACCTAGTTTGCATCTTACATAGCTTTCATTCTGCGGTTCCCTTTCCATTGCCGATTCAGCGCTATCTAACATCTTGATTGCTATTTTACTATATATAGTTTGGCGTCAGCGGCCCAGAGGTCAGGCAGGCCTGTGGCCTACAGTGTGAGCTGGGAAAAGAGTAGCCAAGCTTACAGCTTCGTTCCGGAGGTGAGAAGCGTAGGGCTCAGCACTTTCTAAAAACTCCTCAGAGAGGCGAGAAACACCGTTTGCCTCTTAAGCCGAAGTGAAACGGGCCTTTACCTAGGACGGAACCTGCAGAGTCTCCGTCCGTCCGCGGCCTGTTGATGTTTCGGTGAGAAACGTGCTCTGCCAGGGGTTTTCCCTATCAGGCCTCGGATACTGTTGTGCACAGAATTCAAGTACCCTTGTTGGTGGACAGGTGGCAGCCCCTGGGAAATACTGAAAAGGAAATCATTTGCTTTCCCCAAGGATCTTATGGCCTCCCCCTGAGACTGACCTGTTAAGACAGTTCCCACGAATTCTGGATGTCAGATACTGCTACACCTTCTCTCTCCAGTTTGTGCCCGTGAGCTGCTTTGAAATAATACATTAAAAAAAAATATATATATATTAATGATTTTTTTAAAGAGAGGAAGGGAGAGGGATAGAGAGCTAGAAACATCGATGAGAGAGAGACATCGATCAACCGCCTCCTGCACATCCCCGGTAGGGCAACCAATGTACATGCCCTTGACCGGAATCGAACCTGGGACCCTTCAGTCCGCAGCCAACGCTCTATCCACTGAGCCAAACTGGTTTCGGCAAAATAATACATTTAAGTCAGAAATCGTAACAGGTGAACCGGCCGCACCTGTTCCTGTTGATCAACGTGTCAGAGAGGTGTGTCCCTCTCACACTGCGGTCCTTGAAGCAAGGTCAAGGGCATCCAGAATAAAGGGCGTAAATGGCAAAGGGCATCGAAGACACGATGTTCCTGCCCGCCCTTCAGGAAATCTGTGTCCTCCTTTGGCTAGTGTAAAACTTGCACGGCGCTGCTGGCTGTGAGGAACTAGGGTTCAGCTTTTTGACGGAAACTCAGGAGGGACAATCAGTACGAGAGCATTTTAGAAAAAGACTAAAAATTGGGTGGAGAGTGTATTTCTGTTTCCCAGCGTGGGCCATCCTGGGAGCCTCACACGTTGAGTTCCTCAAGGAGCTGGTGAGTTTGAGTTCACTGTTCTGTCCATATGATTTTTTGTTGTTGTTGTTCAGGGAGATGTGAAGGTCAAAGAAGGGAAAGCTTTTCCATCCATGCAGCATTTATAAACCCAGACTATGTACGGCGTTTGGCCTGAGTGCTCTGTGTGCAGGGCGGGTTGTTGGGTAATAGTAGGCGATCCTTGTCTCACCGTGTAAAGGGAACTTCTCTTCTTCCTCTTCAGCTTTCAGCTGTGTGTGCTCACCTTCTGCCAGCCCTTCACAAGGGTGGAAGTTGAGGTAAGTCATTCAAAACGTGGCTGTGGAGCTTGAGATTTGGCCTTTCCTTTTATTTTGAACTAGAGGCTCGGTGCACGAAATTTGTGCACAGGTAGGGTGCCTAGACCTGGCTGGCGATCAGTACCAATTTGTGGGGTGACCAGCAGGGCGATCAGGGGGGCCCCCTGCTGGCACTCTCTTTGACTGGCCTGGGGCCTGCAGTCTGGGGTCAGCTCCTGCATTGAGCATCTGCCCCCGGTGGTCAGTGTGCATCATAGCGACCAATCGTCCTGTCATTTGGTCTATTTGCATATTAGGTTTTCATTATATAGAGCTAGTGGTCCAGTGCATGAAATTCGTGCACGGGGTGATGTCCCTCAGCCCAGCCTGCACCCTCTTCAATCTGGGACACTTGGGGGATGTCCGACTGCTGGTTTAGGCTCGATCCCCCCTTGCCAGCCTGATCGCCCTCAACTGACCCCCTCCATTGGCCTACTTGCCCCCAACTGCCAGCCTGATTGCCCTCAACTGCCCCCCCCCCCCTTACTGGCCTGATTTTCCCCAACTGCCATCCCTGCCAGCCTGCTCACTCCTAAACCCCCTTCTTGCTGGCCTGATCACCCCCAACTCCCCTCCCCTCCTGGCCTGACCGCCCTTAACTGCCTCCTGCTCTGCCCTGGCACCATGGCTTTGTCTGGAAGGATGTATGGAAGGTCTCCCAGTCTAATAAGCATATTACCCTTTTATTAGTGTGGACTCCTTGTCTGCAGAGACCGGATATGCAAGGGCCAGGAGTTAAACCCACCATCTTTCCGATGAGCCCTGTGTACAAATGGTGTAGCTAAGCCCAGGCGATTAGGTCTAGCCCTTAGAGTTGGATCAGGAAACATCTGTCACTTCTGGGAACCTCCGAGGTGTAACCGGTCTGGCTGGCCAGACTCGCACTACCCATTTCTACGTCTGCGTTCCTGTCATCGCCATCCTCTGCCCAGAGGAATGCTCACCCTTCACGTCCCGGCCGAAGGAGCCACAGAGGCAGAGCCCCACAGCTCCTTGAAGAGTAGTGGGCTCGGGAGTCTGGGTGGTGGGAGAGGGTCGGAGCCTCAGGGGAGCCCGAGGCCGCCCTATCCGGGAGGCAGCCCGCACCGTCAGTCACAGGACAGACGGTCTGTGCGCTGGAGCTGCAGCGGCAGCCGGGAGTGGGGGCGTCATTAGATCATCCTGAAAACCTGACCACACTTTGTAGACTCCAGGTTGTTCCCAGAAGAATTCTTAGTCTCAGAGTGAGACAGGATGGACGCCGGAATTCAGAATCTGCTTGGTTTTACGGGTGCTTTTGGGTAGTCTGTGGAGAGAGGGTCAGATATAGACCTACTTATCTCTCCTGTACCTCCAGCAGAACCAGCAACAGACGTGGAAATGCATGTAGAACTGCTTTTTAAAAATATATAGAGAGAGCACATGTGTCAGTGGTCAAACTGTGTTACAACAGAGGTATGCAAATTCTCATTCTATTGCCCTGACCACGATTACACATTTCCTTCCTGTGTCGTGTCTGGCTTTCTCTCTCTTTGCCTTTCTCTTTGCCTTTCTCTCTCTTCCTTCCTTCCTTCTCTCCCTCCTTTCTTCCTCCCTTTCTCCTTTCCTCCTTTCCTTCCTTCCCTCCTTCCTTCTTTCTTCCTTCCTTCCTCTCTCTCTTCCTTTCTCGCTCTTTTTTTCTTTCTCCCTTTTTCCTTTCTGCTCCTTCCTTTCCTTTTTCTTTCCCCCTTTTCCTCTCTCCCTCCTTCCTCTCTCTCTCTGAGTTACAGTATTTGCATTCTCCAGCCGGTTCTCAGACCTGTTTAACCTGTTTGGACAATATTTTCTAGCAAAAAAAAAAAAAAAGAAAAGAAAAGAAAAGAAAGAAAGAAAATATATATATATTTTTTAAACTTTTTTTTTTAAATATATTTTATTGATATTTTACAGAGAGGAGGAGAGAGGGATAGAGAGCTAGAAATGTCGATGAGAGAGAAACATCGACCAGCTGCCTCTTGCACACCCCCTACCGGGGATGTGCCCGCAACCAATGTACATGCCCTTGACTGGAATCGAACCCGGGACCTTTCAGTCCGCAGACTGACGCTCTACCACTGAGCCAAACCGGCCTCGGCAAGAAAATATATTCTTTATCTAATAACTTCACCAATAAGATGGCTTTTGACCATTAGCAACGCCTGCGTCAGCAGGGATTCGGTGTGTGAGGATTGGGGTGCCAGGCACAGACGGGAGCCTGGGACTCCCGACTTAGAATTCTCATTTGAATGATCTGTGCTTCAGGTCTGCGATGCTACCTTCCACCCAGGGGGCCCCTAACAACCATAGGGCTGGGTATTTTTATTCCCCAGAGTCTGGCTGTAACCGGACACCCCCACCCGGCCTCGGAGGTGCCAGCTGGCGCCGCCCCACACGCAGCTGCGTTAGGAGTCTCGGCTCCTCTGGCCGTGCCTGTTCCGGTTGTCTTGGCCGTCCAGAGGCACGCTCCTCTCTCTCCTTGTCCTTTAAAATGGTCGGGGATCCTACCTAGTATTTCTGACACGCGTCTTTAGAACTCCTTCACTAGCAATCGGGTAAACCTAAGTCAGGACGTTAGCCGAGCCCGTGTGGCTCAGTGGTTGAGCATCAGCCCAGGAGCCACGAGGCTGCCTGGTTTCATTTGATTGCCACTACGTGCCACCAGGATGTGCCCGAGCAGATGACTTCACCCTCTCTCCGGCTGAGCTCTCACCGGTGACATGGGAGGAACACGCATGTCACAGGGCCGTTGGGGTGTAATGAGGGTGACGCGTGTGCTGGCACACGGCTGGGGCTCAGTGAGCATTCACCCTCGTTCCCCTGAGCACGCAGCTCGCTCCGCTCTTGCTAAAAGGAAGCAGAAGGATTGTTCGCAGGTGCCTCCCTCGTGGTGCCTTCTCTCCTCTGGAAGCCTTGAGGGAAGAACCGTGGACGAACCAGCACCGCCCTTTGGTGAAGACGGACCCGGCGAAGGGCATTTTCCGCTCCTTGGAAAGGATGCGCTTGTGTGACATCGTCCTTCATCCATCTCTCTCCTCCTCGAATCATCAGCTTAGGAGAGAGGAATGTGCGGGTGCGGCCAGGAGCAGCGAGGGAACCGGTTCTGTGAGGACCGAGTGTGCAGAGGAGGACGGCTGCCAGTCCGGAGAGGCCAAACTGGTTTCAGCGGGGAGGGGGGTGGATATGATTTTTGAGAGCTCATCTTCCACCTGAATAGACGAAGGGGACCTAGCCGGTGTTGCTCAGTGGATAGAGCATCGGCCTGCGGATGGAAAGGTCCCAGGTTCGATTCCGGTCAAGGGCATGTACCTTGGTTTCAGGCACATCCCCAGTAGAGAGTGTGCAGGAGGCAGCTGATCGATGTTTCTCTCTCATCGATGTTTCTAACTCTCTATCCCTCTCCCTTCCTCTCCGTAAAAAAATCAATAAAGTATATTTTTTAAAAATGAATAGACGCAGGGGAGGGAGGATGCAGGCCATGCAGGGGAGAGCAGATGACTTTTAGGAAAGGCAGATGGGCCCTCGGAAGCATAGATGAGAGAGAGAGTGTGTGATGGCGTCGGCCTGGGAGTGACACCTGCCTCTAGGCTACTCTCCTCCGATGGGGGCCAGGCGCCCTGTCCGATGAGTCTTTGCAGGAGCAGGTGTATCACAGTCGGCTTCTTATTGGGGGGCCTGTCTTCAGGCAGACGGGGTGGGGGGGTTACAGAGGAAGCCTCGCCCCTGTAAGTGCTGCTTCTCCAGTGGCCTCGGCCCCAGGGAATCCACACGCCCAAGGGGCCTGTGTTGGGGTGGCCTTCACAGCCGTCCCTCAGAAGTGGCAAGTGAAATGCCTTCGCGATGAAACATGGACTTGCAACCCGAGAAGCAAAGCCAGCGTCGGGCCAGGTCTGAGGGCAGCAGAGCAGATCGGGCCGGGCAGGGGCTTCGGGCAGCGGCAGGGACATGCCGTCCAAGCTCCGGAACCCGATCCTCGCCCGTCACGGAGACGCGGAGAAAATAGACTCGGGCCGGGACGACATGCCCTGGCCCAGCTCCAGAGCCAAAGGGAGACAGGTCTTCAGCAGAAGGAAGACAGACCGGGAGCTCCTTCTCTACTCGGAGGCCGTATGGCCACTTGGGAAAGGAACGGGGTTTTCAAGCAGCCACGGGGACCCCGTGGAAGTTGGCATGGATTTATCGTAGCTTCACCCCATAAGGTTTTTAAAAATATGTTTTTATTGATTTCAGAGACAGGAAGAGAGAGGGGGAGAGGGACAGAAACATCAACGATGAGAGCAGCATGGATCGCCTGCCCCTGCACGCCCCCTACGTGGGGGGGAGCCAGCAACCCTGGCGTGTGCCCTGATGGGGAATCGAACCGTGACCTCCTGGTTCATGGGTTGACGCCCAACCACTGAGCCACACCTGCCAGGCATAAGGTTTTTCTTTAGCCTCCCTCGGAGGGTCTCTGCAGGAGTGAGACAGACGGAGGGGTCAGGAGACAGGTGACCAAGGTTTTGTAATTGGCACCGTGGCTGTGGCACGTGGACGTGTCTGACTCCCCAAGGCCAGGGTCGACAGGCAGACAGATGCTGCCGCGGGGGCAGAGAAAGAGGGGTGAGCAGGGCCTGAGGGTGACCGCGAGGCGCTCGTGGTCCAGGCAGGACCCGGTTGCGGGGAAGCAAACACTCCTAGGCCACGAGGGGAAACTGGCTGGAGAGCTTGTGGGAGGAGGAGATGGAGTCCCAGGTTCGTGTCCGCGGCGGAAATAGAGCAGGAAATCTCTGCGGCCAGGCAGAGAGGCGGTGAGGTGAAGAGGGCAGATGGGCCATCGGTGTGGCCACGGGGAGGGGACGAGAGAAGGAGAAGGCCACAGGGAGACGGGATCAGGAAGCCGAGAGGGGGACTTAGACGTGTCTCAGGGGACAGCGATGGGTAACAAACCGCCTTTTTGGTATGTCCTTCCCGAGGAGAGGGGATGGTCACGCTGTGAGCCTAGTGCAGAATGGAAACGTGAGCTCGAGGGCAGGTCTACCCCGGGAGACGTGACTTTTTGCTAGAATTCCCATTGAATTGCTGCTTCTCAGGAGGCCGGGGGCCCAGGAGGGTCACATCTAGGCTTTTAGTTATTTTTGGCGCTCAGTGGATTTTTTTTTTCTCTCCTTTAGAATAGAATGCTACTCACTATGAGAGTTACTAACACTCGTTTTATGGAAAATACTATCAGAGAACCAGCGCCATAGCTCACTGTATTGTGTGTGGTGAACAGCGAAGCTGCAATTTATCTTGTTTTTTTTTTGGATTTCAGTATATGCTACAGGTCAAATGTATGCTATGTAGATGATCCTTTGGTTTAAAAGAAACAACACAAAACAAAGAATTATAGGGCGACATAAAACTTCACAGTATTTCACTGTTTTGTTAGAGGCTTTAGGAACGTTCATTGTGAAGCACTGTTTTCTTCCTTGGATTGCATCCCAAGCAAATATTAGCCATTTTTACCGGAACAGGCTGAAGGGAATTTTTAGAAAAACTAATTTGCAGACGTTGGTGCTCTGGATATATAAGTGATGTGGGGACCTCTGGTGGCTCAGTGTGTTTTTCCATCTTAAGGAATCACTGGATACGGAACAGGAAGCCAGGCAGAGGAGTCTGGTTGGAAAGGATGTTGGCAATCCTGCAGTCAGACCTTTCCCTCTACAGGGGAGGGGATGGAAGCCCGCGAGGCCCACAGGATTCCCCAGCAGAGCCAAGGCCACGGGGCTATTTCTGCCCCTCGGAGGTGTTAATAGAATGAATGAGCCAAGTCAAATGACCTGTAGCAGATGATCCTGTCCTTCCTGCCCACTTCTCTGAGACACTCCCCTCGCACCCAAGCAGTGCTCAGCACCCCACTCCCTCTGCCCGTGGTCTCACATCTCTCGCAGGTGGAGGCATGGGGTTCCCTCCACCCTTAGCTGCTTCCTCTTCGGCTTACCACTCCCTTCCCACAAAGGCCCTGCTCAGAAACTCGGACCTGCTCATGTCCCTCTCTTGCTCAGGCTCCATCTCCGAGCCCCCATGGCCCACAGGCGTCTCATCATGACTCACAAGATGGGCAGACGCGCCTGCGTGAGTCCAGAAGAGGCGTTCGTTACACGAATCTTTCTTTTTATTCCCCTGGCACATGTGTGTGGCTTTAGCTCCACTGTTTAACCTCTTCTGGCCAATCCTTCTCTCTGATGGGAACAGTAGGGCGCGCCTCAAGAAATTGTTAAGAGAGTTCATGGCATAAAGACACCAATAGAAAGTTCTCAGCACATGGTAGGTGCTTAATGGATGGGCTTAGCTCATGGTCGTACGTTTCTACCCCTGGACATGGAGGGCTCCTGGAGGTAGCCACGTCTTCAGGGCTTAGTGTGTGGCCTAGTATGTGGTAGGTGCCTAAGCATGTTTACTGCATGGAAGTGAGCCATGGAATCTTGGGTCCATCATCTGATCTTTGTGGAGCCCAGTTCCTTATGGCTAACATTGGGAGGCTCGGTTGAAAAGAAATACTGCACTTAAAGCACTTCGCACGGTACCCGGTTCACTGGGGGTGGAATCATGTTTATCTTTCAAAAGCCAAGGTCAACCATCAGTCAGCTCTCTGTGAATCCTGTTTGGCTGCCTTTCCCTGCCCACTCCCGGCCAAGATCACCATTTCCTCTCTCTCACCCTCCTACTCTAGGAAAGATGGTTTCGTGGGGAAAACAAGGGTCTTAGGATCTGACCGACCTTGGGCTGAATCCTGGCCTTGCGACCCGTTTTACTTTCCATAAGTGAAGGAAGCTTTTCATTCACTTATGGGGTCTAATTGGGGTCAGGGTCATGATACTGAGCATACGCGGTGTCGGCCTCGCCTATAAAAACTTCTGTTTCCTTTAGAACTCGAATAGGGCCCTATTGATCTTGCCTGATGTATAGTAGGTGCTCAAAACATAGGTTGTGACTTAAATACAGCACCAAAACCTTGCTAACGTTAGAATGCTATTCATAAAAACGAGGATGGCACCAATGAGGCATTCCAGAAGGTCCGGTATAGAAAAAGGCCCATTTAAATGGCCATAAAGCAAAAACAGGGTGTTAAGGAAATGCTAGAAAGCCAATACTAAGGATTTTTTTTAAAAAAGCAGATGAAATGACAAAGCATGAAGTTCCATCAATTGATGAAAATATGGCCCAAAGCGGGAATGGATGGAGAAGATAAACCATAAAAGACAAAAGTCATCATCATAACCTTCTCCCACAAGGGGAGGGACTGGTAGGAGATGCGGGTCTGAGGAAAAGATCTTTGTAGCTACAGCTCTCCGTCTCCCAGAATTCCAGACACAGGCTCATTGTATCCTCACCCTGGCCAAAAAAGCAGGCGATCAGAGCCTGCCTTACAGGATCGAGGAGACCGTTCAGAAAAGGTGAAAGAGGTGCTGATTCATACACAGGGAGACCCAGAGCTCCTGATCCAAGCTCTGGGTTCCTGCCACCACGTCCTGTTAACGATATGCTCCAAAGGCGGGGTTCATAGGATGACAGGTAACTTATATCCATGAACTAGAGGCCCAGTGCACGAGATTCATGTATGGGTGGAATCCCTAGATCTGGCCAGCTATCAGGGCCGATCTGTGGGGCAACCAGTGGGGTGATTGGGGGGCCACTGCTGGTACCCGCCTTGGCCAGCCGGGGTCCTGTGGGCTGGGGGCAGCTCCTGTGTTAAGCATCTGCCCCCTGGTGGTCAGAGCGCGTCATAGTGACCAGTCATTCTGTGGATTGTTCCGTCGTTCGGTCAACTTGCCCGTTAGGCTTTTATCATATAGGATATCGTTGACATTTGCTGCCGGAGCCTTGCCCGTTGTTATAAAAAGGTGTGTTTATCTTTCAGTTTATGCCTGTTCAAACGCCGAGTGACGAAGAAAAAAGAGATCCTGTCCTTTATGCTAGTCGCGTCCGGAATTTGATGGCAGAGTGAGTATGTCCATATGTGATTATCACCAGTCGATAGTTTGAACAGAATTGGTAAATGACATTTAACATAGTTTTAAGGATTTGGGTGTTTTCTTCCTAACATCCTCCCCCTCTCCCCCCAATTAACTTCGGGAAGTCAAATGATGTGCTTTCCATAAAATGACCACTTTCCATGAGATGGAAATGAACCGTTTCATTGTTATCGTAGTTGAATCACAAAGCCAGCGCGGACTGCTGGCAGACGCATGCAGACGTAAGATTGCCGAGGACCTTGACCTCGGGGCCCTAGTAAATCTGAACAAGGAGAGACACACGCCTCTTTGGCCATAAGAAGCCAAAGCTACTGTTTAAAAAGCTGGGATTACTTCCCCACTCACCGCTGTTGGTTGGCCCATTCGGGCCTAACGGGCCGTCGTTACCTGATTGAAAACTCTGCCTTTGGCCGTTTTCAGGGCTCTGGGCATCCCCGTCACCGACCACACCTATGAGGACTGCCGACTGATGATCTCGGCCGGGCAGCTCACCCTGCCGATGGAAGCCGGGCTGGTGGAATTTACCAAGATCAGCCGGAAACTGAAGTAAGGGCGTTTTAAAGTGACGACGTTTTTCGTAACAGTGTCCAGAAGAGATCTGAATTCCTGTGTGTTTCTTGTCTCTGGTTTTATGAAGGCTCAGGTCTGGTGCTTGTCTTTTTGTGTTTTTAGCATGTTTTATTGATTTGAGAGAGAGAGAGAGAGAGAGAGAGAGAGAGAGAGAGAGAGAGAGAGAGAAACATCGATCAGCTGCCTCCTGCACACCCCCCACTCAGGATCGAGCCCACAACCTGGATCTGTGCCCTGACCGGGAATCGAACTAGAGGGCTTTGGTGCATGGGACGCCACTCAACCATCCAACCTGCCAGGACTCAGCTCTCGTGTTTGTTAGGGAAACCAAGCTTATGCATTTATCTCCCCTTTCGTTTTTTTTGTTTGTTTGTTTCTTGTTTTTTAGTATATTTTTATTGGTTTGGGAAAGAGGAAGGCAGAGGGAGAAAGAGATGGAAACATCAATGATGAGAGAGAATCATTGAGTGTCTGCCTGCTGCACGCCCCACGCTGGCGATCGAGCCCACGGCCTGGCATGTGCCCTGACCGGGAATCCAACCGTGACCTCCTGGCTCATGGGTCGATGCTCATCCACTGAGCCACGCTGGCCGGCTCCCATTTAATTCACCCATTTTTGTGTTTTTCAAAAAACAGTTAACTCAGGACTGTATGCGCTGGTCACAGGAGACGTGTGGTGTGGGTACTGCTGCCTCCAGACTCCAGAAAGGCTGAGTGGTTGAGGGTTCAGTCCGTCCTGATGCCTCTGTCCCAAGAGGACGGCGTCAGGCGATGATATGGGCCTGGGCTGGCCAGAATGTCCCTTTCGGAATAAGAACCGACGCGTAGAGTAGCAATTCTGACCATCGCTAGCCTGTTTACCCCTCAGACCTACCTTTTTCTTCGGGCACGTCATTTTTTTTTCTAAAAAGGTCCAAACGCCCCTTCGTGCTCGCACGATCCAGTGTGAGCCATGTGGAAACACGCCTTCCGATTCTCCCTCAGACTGGATTGGGACGGCATCCGGAAGCACCTGGATGAGTACGCGGCCATCGCCAGCTCCTCCAAAGGAGGGAGGATCGGCATCGAGGAGTTTGCCGAGTATCTGAAGCTGCCCGTGTCGGACGTGCTGAGACAGCTGTTCGCGCTCTTCGACAGGGTAAGTGGGACGCCGTCCCTCCCGTGCGGGCGCACAGGTCAGGGTTCGCCCCGGCGGGGCTGAGCCCCAGGGTTAATTGCATGGTTTCGTTTTCTCGCCTAAATCCCAATCATAAGAATACCTGTACATGTATGAGTTTTGTTTTTTTAATTAATTTATTTTTATTTGTTTTAAAATATATTTTATTGATTTTTTTTAATAGAGAGGAAGGGAGAGGGATATAAAGTTAGAAACATTGATGAGAGAGAAACATCGATCAGCTGCCTCCTGCACACTCCCTCCTGGGGATGTGCCCGCAACCAAGGTATGTACCCTTGACCGGAATCGAACCCGGGACCTTTCAGTCCACATGTGTGTTTTGTAGCCGTGATGGTGGTGCCTGTGTATTTGAAACACCAGGCCAGGTATCAATACCGTGATCCCATAATCATGTTGGTCGTATAGCGTTGGGAAGGTTTTTGTAACTGGCAAGAATTTTAAAATCGCTACCACTACTCACACGTCGATGACCCGGTCGGTGGTGCTATTGTATTCTGAAGGTTTCTGTATTTCCCTCCCAAAAAAATGTGTGAAAATCAAATTGAATTTATTTTCTAAATAACATTTGATAACAGAGGTTTCAATGAATGCTTGGCCATTTGTCATCATATTGGGGACACGGTTTTCTGCTTATGAATATGTAAGTACATGAAGTTAGACACCTGAATTGTCAAAAAGTTTCCTTAGAAAAGTGTATCAAGTTCTCTGTATTTTTTCATTTCTTTTCAGTACATAACATTCATTCTTTGGGTTAAGGCTGTATGAGTCCTAACCGGTGCATTGAGGCATGTAATACCAGCACGGTCAAGATACACAATAGTCACAAAAATAATACCTTGTAGCCAAGCCCTATCCTGACCTTTAACCCCTGACAACACAGAATCTACCCTTTCGAGTCTGGCTTCTCTCTCTTAGCCTAATGCATTTGAGATTCAGTCAGGTTGGTGCATGTGTCAACCATCTGTTTCCTTTTATTGCCGATCAGTATTCCGTGGTGTGGAGTATGGACGCACCACGTGTGGTTACCCGTTTCTCAGCTGACGAACATTTGATTTGTTTCCAGTTTGGGGCCATGACGAATGCCATTGCGCTAAGCATTCAGGCATAAGTTTCTGTGCAAACATGGGTTTTGCATTTCATTCGGGTAAATACTGAGGATTGTGATCTCTTCATTTTCTCTTGTCTGAGAAGGACTTGATTTTTGCATTCATCCCTGAAGAATGTTTTTGTTGCATAAAGATTCCTGAGCCGTTAGTTCTTTTCTTTCAGCAGCTCATTAGCGAGGTCCATGATTTCAGTGCCTTCCTGATGGTTCATCTCCTCTTGACTTTCCTCACCACGCCGCCTGCTGTGGCACTGTGCCCAGAGGTGGTTGCCTTTTGCATTTTGATCAGTTACTAGTTGCAATCAGAAGGCGAAATAGACTTAACTGGCTCAGTCCATCTTAACTGGTCTGTTCCAGTTCTCTAGCAACCACTGGGGGAAACGGCATTTTGCGAATAAATTATAGATGGCTGCCAGAAACCAGGATGGAGCTTTTAGTCTTCTTTCCCCGGGGGCCCCCTAAGCTTCCTAATGACTGTGCTTGGTGATGTCATAGGTGAACTACTCTTTAACATCATGAAGTCAGGCTGCCTCCTTCTATGGGTCTTGCTTATGTCACACAAGCAATCTTTCCTTGTTCGTGAAATGTCCAATCTCCATTACATTTTATATTCCGCTAGGGTCCCTCGGCCTGGCCTGCACCCTCCCGCAATCTGGGATCCCTCGGGGGATGTCCGAGAGCTGGTTTCACCCCAGTCCCCACAGGCCAGGCCGAGGGATCCGTGCACCGGGCCTCAAGCATGCATATAAGATTTTTGGTTAATCTCTTCCCACCTTTCCCTGTCCACTTCCTCCTGAGATTCATCCGTCTGTTCCATGTTTCCATGCCTGGTTTCTGCTCCTGCGTCGAGCGTCTGCCCCCTGGTGGTCAGTGTGCATCATTAGGCGCACACACACACACACACACACACACACACACACTATAGACTTGTCTGCCACTGCTCTACGGTGTGATGAAGGTTTAGGGCACATGTGTCAAACACAAGGCCCGCGGGCCAAATCCGTCCCGCCAGGCCTTGCAATGTGGCCCGCACCGCGCTGTCATCACTGCACTCCACTGCGTTTCCATCACAATGACAGTTTATGACTGTTCAGTAAACCATTCGGCCCTCGATTTAGGCTGGATTTTAGATTTTGGCCCCTTCTCTGATTGAGTTCGACACCCCTAGTTTAGGGGAAAGGACCAGGCCAGGTGGCGTGGCTCAGTGGTTGAGTGTCGACCTATGAACCAGGAGGTCACGGTTCCATTCCCAGTCAGGGCACATGCCCGGGTTGTGGGCTCCATCCCCAGTAGGGGGCGTGCAGGAGGCAGCCGATCAATGATTCTCTGCCATCATTGATATTTCTATCTCTCTTTCCCTCTTCCTTCCTCTCTGAAATCAAGTGAAAATATGCATTAAAAAAAAAGATTAAGGGAGAAGGAGAAGAAAACCATTGGCCCTCACTGTGCAGGCTAGGGAAACGGGAACTTGACACTCACGCTATGACTAGTCCTGAGAGGTTTCTATCGTTTGGCTCTAGACACCAGGCAAGGACTTTTAAGTAAAGTTTCTATAAATAGGACAGGAAGGAAGATGGCAGGGACATACCAAGAAGGACAGGAGGCGGGGGAGTGGGAAGTGACATGAAATAGGACCTGAAAGGGAAGTGTAGAATTAGTGCTCACCAGGATTTTTTCATCAAAATGAAACGTCATGCCTACAGAGGTTGCCCTCTCTTTAGGGCACATGTGTCAAACACAAGGCCCTCGGGCCAAATCCGTCCCGCCAGGCCTTGCAGTGTGGCCCGCACCGCGCTGTCATCACTGCACTCCGCTGCGTTTCCATCACAATGACAGTTTATGACTGTTCAGTAAACCATTCGGCCCGCGATTTAGGCTGGATTTTAGATTTTGGCCCCTTCTCTGATTGAGTTCGACACCCCTACTTTAGGGTGTCACTCGTTCATCCCTGGCGGCGGCGGGGATGCTGGGACAGCAGTTCTGCCTTTGGATGAGGGAGGCCACCTGTCGCCAGCCCCACTGTTGCCATAGCGCTGCCACGTGGGGGAAGACTTGGGAGGCGGAAGGGAGGGTGAGCTGGGATTAAAGGAATCCCTCGTTGGCCGGGTGGACGCCCTCTGACCCGGAGAGTCCAGCCGGCTCTGGGAGTTAGGAGACGGCGAGCCTCGGGAGCCAGGGTGGGGATCACATTTCTGTGTCAGGGGGCTCCCATGTCAATTATGACTGTGATTTTTTTCTTCACTTCTCTGTACGGTGGGACTTGACTTGAGATACCTGGTCTGGGTAGCACTTGTCCTTCGATCTCCAACACACGGGAAGGTAGAGAAAATAATTCCGGAGAGTGACTAGCTGATGGGTCTGACCGTCTTTTCTTTCCTTTGTATCCTCTGTCTCTGTCTGTCCTTCTCTCTCCTTTATATATATATTTTTTTTAATTGATTTTTTTACAGAGAGGAAGGGAGCGGGATAGAGAATTAGAACCATCGGTGAGAGAGAAATCACCTGCCTCCCGCACATCTCCTACTGAGGATGAGCCTACAACCAAGGCACATGCCCTTGACCGGAATCGAACCTGGGACCCTCCAGTCCACAGGCCGACGCTCTATCCACTGAGCCAAACTAGTTTCGACTTCTCCTCCTCCTCCTCCTCCTCCTCCTCCTTCTTCTTCTTTTTAATATATATTTTATTGAACGTTTACAGAGAGGAAGGGAAAGAGATAGAACCATTGATGAGAGAGAAATATTGATCAACTGCCTCTTGCACGCCCCCTACTGGGGATGTGCCCGTAACCAAGGTACATCTCCTTGACCGGAATCGAACCTGGGACCCTTCAGTCCGCAGGCCGACGCTCTATCCACTGAGCCAAACCGGTTTCGGCTTCTTTCTTTGTTCCTGACAGGCCTGCACGTCTGAGCCTGTGCAGAGTCACTCTGTGTTGAGAAGCCGAGCCCTGTCCCTGCCGCCCCGCCCTGTCCCCGTGCCCACTTCCACTCCGGGCTTGTTTTCTCAGTCCCTGCAAGCGATTTCGCTGGGAACAGTTCCATGGGGACGACGAGGAAGTTCAGTGGCTTCCTAGTTTGTTTCTCTCCCAGTGGCTTATCTTGCCAAATTGAATGCTCAGAGAGGGGGGTGGAGGAGAGGGAGAGGAAGGGCGGGAAAGAGAAAGGGTGAGGTGTTCCTGTTGCTCTCCCGGTGGCTACAGCTGTGTGCAGCGCTCCCGTAAGCCCCTCCCGTGTTCTCTCCCACCTTCCCCTCCGTTTCCTCCTCTTGTTTTCCTCCCTTAATTAATCTTTTTAAAAAGTTTATTATTATTATTATTATTTTAATCCTCACCCAAAGAGTGAGGAGATTTTTTCATTGATTCTCAGAGAGTGTGGAAAGGATGGGGGAGGGGGAGAGAGGGAGAAACACCGATGTGTTAGAGACACATCGATTGATTGTTTCTCCACTCGCAACCCAACTCGGGGTGAGAGGGTTTGAACCTGCAGGCAAGGTATGTGCCCTGGACCGGGAATCGAACCCGAGAGCTTTTGGTCCACAGGCCAATGCTCTAACCAGGGCTCCTCAGTCTTTTCCCAAGTCTCATGTAGTTGTGGTAGGTGTTCTGGGGAGGGAGGACAGACCTGAATATCCCTCCACATCCCCTTTCGTTCCTGGCTAGCCTACAAAACCGTCATCTAGCTTTGTCTCCATTTGTCCTAAAAACAAAACAAACATGCTATGTACTGAGCTCCTTTTGTCATCCTGAACTGCTCTTCTGGACGCTCGGGTGTTTGATAGCAGGTGGGGTCCCGGAGAAAGATGGCGTCCAGGACCCCAGGCCTGGCCTCGTCACCGCTTTGGGCTGCTCCCCGTTGGAGAGGTCCCATGTCTTTGAGAAAAGACCCTTTTCATCCTGAGGTCTGGTTTAGCTTCTTTATCCTCCTACATGTGTACTGAACTCTCTGGATTCCGAAATGATGCGGGGTCCGTCAGATGCCCAGGGGATGAGAGTTGAGGGCAGAAACAATCGTTGGACATGGTGTCTTCTCTTTTTTTTAAATATATATATATATATATTAAAAAGGAAACCACCTGCCTCCTGCACACCTCCTACTGGGGATGTGCCCGCAACCAAGGTACATGCCCTTGACCAGAATCGAACTTGGGACCCTTCAGTCTACAGGCCAGCGCTCTACCCACTGAGCCAAACCGGTTTCGGCTACAGTGTCCTCTCAATACATCATGTATTCAGAGTCGTTTTTACAGCGGTAACAGTGCCCTGCAATGCCCATCTCAGCGTCATCGCTTCCTCTGTCCTCCTCTGCCACGGTTCTCGAGGAGGCTGTGTAGGCCTGTGGACAGGGTCGTATTTACCCGCCAGACCGTCCTCAGGGTTTCCGTGGGCGTGGTATCTCCGTTGCCGGCTTGACAGCCTGCCTCTGACCTCTTGCAAGGAATCTTACCCGCAAGCTTAGTCCCGCCCTGTTCTGTCGCTTCTACCCTCCACCTCATGGTGCCTCCTGCTCGGACCCAGCCCATGCTCATCACCGTGCACGCGTATCCTCCCTGGAAACAAAGCTGTGTTTCGGGGGCTGGCTACTTTTTCGGTAAAAGAGCCAGAAAGGGCACACTGGAAGCAGTAACGTCTGCAACTGGTCTGTGTGCCATCGATCTCGGGGCTCTCTCGGCACTGGTTTTCCTGACAGAAAGTCAGTGACTCAAGGACAGTAAGACTCTCTTTTCTCAGGGATGTTGACGTGCAGGGTTCGATTCCCGTGCAGGGCACATACATGCCCAGGTTATGGGCTCGGTTCCCCGTAGGGGCTGTGCAGGAGGCAGCCGATGAATGATCCTACACACGATCACTTGTGAGTATTTATGAGACATACTAGAGGCCCGATGCACAAAATTTGTGCAAGCCTAGCCCTGCCATCCCCCTGCTGCCGGCACCGGCTTCCCTCTGGCACCCGGAACCCTTGCTTCCCTCGTAGCCCCGGCTTCGTCCGTCTGGAAGGACATCCGGTCTAATGAGCATATTACCCGTCTATTATCATAGATCAGGAATATTTATCAGAAGAGCTCCCTAAAAAATGGCAGGTGCTAGGACCTCGTGGAATCCAGGCAGCTCCAGTGGGAGGGGAGCCCTGGCATGTGGGCCGCATGTGGGCCGCGGGGCGTGGTGCCGTGGAGCCGGGACAGACAGACGAGCCAGTTTTTCCACCCGGGAGCTCCATCCTGCAGGCTCCGTTCCGGCTCTCCTCGTCCCTCTCCTTCCACGGGAAGCATGTTTCTCGCAAAGGCGTTTCTGGAAGGCGCAGACAGAGGCCTCGGGGAAGCCCTGGGAGGCCTTCTCGGAGGAGGAGGCCAGCGGCGAGGAGGAGGAGGAGCAGGAGGAGGAGGAGGGGTTGTCGGAGGGATCGTCGGTGGGCTCGTGAACCTCATCAGCGAGGCCGCGGCGGCCCAGTACACCCCGGAGCCCCCTCCCACCCAGCAGCACTTCACCCAGGTGGAGGCCAGCGAGAGCGAGGAGGTGAGGCGGTTCCGGCAGCACTTCGCCCAGCTGGCCGGCCCGGACATGGAGGTGGGGGCCACCGACCTCATGCACATCCTCAACAAGGTGCTGTCCAAGCACCGGGACCTGCAGACGGACGGCTTCAGCCTGGACACCTGCCGCAGCATCGTGTCGGTGATGGACAGCGACACCAACGGGAAGCTGGGCTTCGAGGAGTTCAAGTACCTGTGGGGCAACCTGCGCAAGTGGCAGTGCGTGTACAGGCAGCACGCCGGGCCCGGCGCGGGCGCCCTGCCGGCCGCCCAGCTGCGCGCCGCCCTGCAGGCCGCCGGCTTCCAGCTCAGCGACGGGCTGCACCGCATGATCGTGCGGCGCTACGCCGACGACGAGGACGGCAGCATGGACTTCAACAGCTTCGTCAGCTGCCTGGTCCGCCTGGACGCCATGTTCCGGGCCTTCAAGTCCCTGGACCGGGACGCCGACGGCCGCATCCAGGTGTCCATCCAGGAGTGGCTGCAGCTGACCATGTACTCCTGAGGGGGCTCCGACGGGCAGGCCCCACGCCCCCCGCGTCCCCGGAGGATGGGACCGCCTGCCGAAAGCACCCCCCACACCCCGCGCGTGGCTGCAGACGCCCCGTCCCCCAGCTGTCCTCTCCCGGCGGCCCCTTCTGCATGTGCCGCTTTCGCCGCTTCATTAAAACAGATTTGCCACGAGAAGGCTCGGGAGTGGTCTGTGGATTGGCTTTGTACGGACTCACAGACCTGACGGGGGTGCAGGGAGGGGCTGGAAGGCCGTGCATGTAGACAGGCTATCGCTCAGAGAGGGAATGCATTCCCGAGGAGCAAGGCATGTGTTGTTGGTGAGAATTAAGTTTTGGGGAAAAAAAGTTGGAATAAATTTAAAAAAGCCCTCAGGAATTTTTTATTATTTATATATATATTTTTTTTTCTATAAAAGGTGGGGAGGAGGGATGTTCAAAACCTGTGTTTTTTCCTCTTAAGTTTACGTCTGGCATTGTCCACGATGTAAATGAGTTAGAAAAAGCTTTCCTTGGAAACTTGTGTAACTATAGACACAGGGTTGGGACTGGGGAAGAGGCAGTTTTAGAGAAGGGGAGTAGTCTTTTTTACTCTCTTTTTTTTTTTTTTTTTTTTTGGTGGAGCGTCTGTCTCAAGTTCTAGAATTCCTTCTGGTGGAAAAAGCCTGTAGCAGTTTGGTTGGGCTTCGTTGCATTTGTGAAGCGGGTCTGGGGCGCGGGGGAGGGAAGGGCGTGCCCGCAGCCAGAATGTCTCTGGCAGCCGCAAGGACCAGCCTGAACCCTCTGGCGTGGACTTCACACGAGATCAGGCGTGCCCAGCGCCCAGCCAGCGCCTGTCAGGTCTTGCCCTGCCTTGGAACAAGGAATATTATTGTTGTTTTTGTTCCTCTCTGGGAACCAGGCAGGGAAAAAAACACACACAAAAAAACACACACAATGAAATAGAGAAAAAAAGAAAGGAAAACTTACATACATCGCAATCAGTTCTGTGATATATACAGCAATATAGAAATGTATATCTATACTACTGTAATAAAAGGGTAATATGCTAATTAGACCAGGAGACCTTCCGGACAAAGCCATAGTGGTGGGGCCGAGGCATAGGCAGTTGGGGGCAATCAGGCCAGGAGGGGAGGGCAGTTAGGAGTGGTCAGGCCAGTGTGGGGACAGTTGGAGGCGATCAGGCTGGTGGGGGGTTGCGGGGGGGAGCGAGAAGACCAGTGGGGGAGGGTGGTGCACAATTGAGGGCAAGGAGGTCGGCAGGCAGAGTGTTTAGGGGTGATCAGGCAGGCAGGCAGGCAGGTGAGCAGTTAGGAGCCAGCAGTCCTGGATTGTGAGAGGGATGTCCAACTGCCGGTTGGACATCCACAGGGATTGGGCCCAAACCGGCAGTTGGACATCCCCCAAGGAGTCCCAGATTGGAGAGGGCGTAGGCCGGGTGAGGGACATCCCCCCTCCATGCACAAATTTCATGCACTGGGCCACTAGTATTTTCATACAGCTATATATCAGTATCGCGGCTCCTCCGTGCAGGTTCCCAGCCCCGGCTGTCATGGGCCCTCCCTGGGCAGCTCGTGAGGAAGGCCGGTCCCCGAGTCCCACTCCCCACGGGTTCACTAAGAGTCAGTGGCGGAGGGGCTCAGCGAGGAGTACCTTTCCAGCTTCCTAGAGATTCTAACGGGCAGCCAGAGCTGACGGCCACAGCTCTGACGAAGGCTGGCCCACACAGTGCTTTGCAAACGTCTCAGCCGGAACCAAGCCCAGCAGGAGGGTCGGCATTGCCAGTATCCGGAGAAGGAAGGTGGGCATCCGAGACAGACACCCCCATCGTGCCTTCCTCGGGGGTGGCCCCCGGCTGGGCTTTATCATCCGGATGCAGGCGGTGACGGCGGCGGAGGCAGAATCCAGCGTCCACGCACAGAGACCCAGCCTCAGCTCACTGGCCTGCTGTGCACGGGGTCCCCCCCCTGCCTCTCCGGTGTTCAGGGCATCTCCTCCCTTTATTTTATTTATTTATTTATTTAATATATTTTATTGATTTTGTACAGAGAGGAAGGGAGAGAGAGAGAGTTAGAAACATCGATGAGAGAGAGTCATCGATCAGCTGCCTCTTGCACACCCCCTACTGGGGATATGCCTGCAACCAAGGTACATGCCCTTGACTGGAATCGAACCCAGGACCCTTCAGTCCCCAAGCCGACGCTCTATCCATTGAGCCAAACCAGCCTCGGCAACAGTTGATATTTTAAAGGCACATTTTCTGTGTAAGAGGCAGTGTTTACCTAATACTTTTTTAATTTTGCCATGTTTACCTAGGAGAATACCTAGAGCCTCAGATGACGGCCTTTGATTCCTGTCACTCCATCCCGTTATCCTAACATGTTTAATAGCAAGCAACGCAGTCACTGGAGTAAGGGGGAAATAACGTTCATTCATTTTTAAATAAATACGTGAAATTGCACCTCTACATTTTTAAATTTCAAAATACCCCAGGTGATTTTGAAAAACACCTTCATCTCCATTTAATCCACCGAATTCTACGACCAGTGGCAGGAAGTACTGTGTGCTCCGTACCCAACATGGTCAATATTCATACATTAATGTAAAGGGCATACCCCCCCTTTTTTTTTTTTTTTAATAATAGTGCATCTACTTGTAAACGTTGATTTTTATCTAGCAGCCTCAGTCAGAAACCTCATCGGTGGTTTGCACAACGCAGCCATGGTGGGGCCTTAGAAATGTTTTTGGACGTGCCTGTTGACCTCGAAACGCCTTAGCATTACTTACTTCCAAGGGTTATCTGTAGCGCTCCGCGGATAAAACAGTTGGCGCCTAGAAAATTGGTCCTGCCGTTGGGTATGTGAGTGGAAGTGCACTCTTAAGGGGTATTGGGGCAAACAGAACCCCTCCTCCCTGCCTCTGGGGTAACTGGGCTGAATGCCGAGGCCCCCTGTGTCTGTGAGAGTCTTCAGGACGCAGCCTCTCTGCTGGCTGCTGCAGGGCCCCGTCTGTTTCATGTACGGATCACACGCTGACTGGTGCCAGACATGGGTTAGTCCATCAAGCCCCGCCCTAGCCATGTTGCTACCAGTTCATAGTTTATCTGGGAACTCATCTCTTGGACGATTTGGCTGCCAAAATGGCTCTAACACCTGGGATGGTAGTCATGGTGTGTCTGAGGTTCCCCTGCTTCCTCCCTCCCCGCCTCTTCCCTCTCTCCCATCTCCTTTTTCCTTTTTTCCTCCCTCCCTCGCTTCCTTCTTTCCTTCCTTCCTTCCTTCCTTCCTTCCTTCCTTCCTTCCTTCCTTCCTTCCTAGTTCTCTCTCCCATTTCCTTCTCCCATCCTCCCTCCCTCTCTGCCTTGCCCTCTTCCCCCCCCCCCCCTCTCCTTCCTGCCCATTTCAGCCTTGCACAGTCCCTGTCTAGGTGAGTCCGTGGTGTGCAGGGAAATGCTGCCTGCAGTCAGCCCGGTGAGAATGACCAGCCCCCTCTCCAGCGTGGCCTCAGGAAACATCTCATAGGGGGTACGGACCTTAGTGCCACGCTGGTTGGGTGTAGTGTCCCGAGGCTTCTGCCACATCTCCAGGGGCCTGGCACCACTGAGGGGCCAGGCATGGAGCTCAGGTTCGCCCCCTGGCTGCTGGCTGATTGCAGATTCCGGCTGGAAAGAGGAAAGAACGTGGCTGAGATTGTGCCTCAATTCCCCTTTTCCTCCCCTTCCATTGTCTACAGGGGGAGGGCTGCTCAGGGACCCTTTAGTGGCCCACTGCAGCTGGCCAGGTGGCGGGCCTCCCTCCATGGCGCAGGGTGCGCTCAGCCCACGTGGCATGGAAGTCCTGGGTCCTGCCTCCAGAGGGCTCCGGCCAGGCTGAGCTCAAGAACAACGCTGGGCCCCGCCGGCGGGCTCAGTGGTTGAGTGTTCAGTTCCCAGTCAGGGCGCAGGCCCAGGCTGCAGGCTCGATCCCCAGCAGGGGGTGTGTGCTGGAGGCCGCCGGTCCATGATTCTCTCTCGTCCTTGATGTTTCTCTCTCCTTCCCGCACCCTGCCTCTCTGAAATCAATACAAAAACTTTTTTGTTTGTTTGTTTTAAATGAAAAGAACCAGGCTGGGTGCCATGGAGCCCCTCTCAGGGAGTCTTGGCGATAAAACGTTTGTGTTCACTGCCACACGGAAATACCGTTTTCTTCCTCGCGACCTAGGAGTGGGTGGGCCCCCCGCCCCCCCCCCCCCCGCTTCTGTCCCACCTCCGCACAGACTCTTTTCCCGCCGGCTCAGCTCAGGAGGGTGTTGGGCCGCTGGCAGGCCCGACCTTCACCTTGCGGGCCGTGCCCAGCAGCAGGTGGACGGGCAGAGCCTCAGAAATAGGCGCGTCTCCCATCCTGACCGAGGAGGAGTCCCCAGGTCTGGGTTTCCTTCTTATGTCCGCGCGGTGTGAGCCGGGTTAGCTGGGCGGCCTGCCTGGCACCGACGTGGCTGACGCTTCCCTCCCCGCACTCACCGATGTCTCCCCTCCCCTCCCAGAACCACGACGGCAGCATCGACTTCCGGGAGTACGTGATCGGCCTGGCCGTGCTGTGCAACCCCGCCAACACCGAGGACATCATCCAGGTGGCCTTCAAGGTACCGCCCGCCCCGCCGACAGGCGCTGCCGCTAAGTGCATTACGTGGGCCGGTTACGCGGGGCTGATGGATCCCCAGTGACAGGCGGCGGGGCTAACGCGATTAGGACCGTGGCTCCCGAGCCAAGGGGAGCGCGGGCCCCCGTCTAAGCGCAAAGGTCTCCTGCGAGCGGCCCGGGTCTCCGAGGAGCAGGCGGTTTCACAAATTAGCTTAAAAAATTAGCCCTTTCCCGCCTCCCTCTCTCCAAGCCCCAGCGTGAGGGTCATAAACAATCACCGCCTGTCACTCCTCACCCGCTCCCTCTCTCCCTCCCTCCCTCGGGGCGTCGGGCTGTGTCCTGGCCTCTCACTCTGGGTGTCCGGGTTCGTGGTGAAGGTGTTTGTCCGGTGGGCGTGTGTTTGGGGGCGGTGGTCCCCGGTGAACCCATCCAAACTGTCCCAGGGTGCCCCCTCCGTGCCTTCCTGCAGTGCCACACGTATTTTTACAGCCGTGTTGGGGGACAGGCAGATAAGACTGTGGCCCCGGTCCCCACGGGTGTCCATTCTGAGGACCCCGGCCTCATCCATCACTTCCGTGTGCAAAACAGACATGGGAGAGCCCAGGCTGGCATGTCCCCCCGGGCCCAGGCTGTGGGCTGGATGCCCCATCGGGGTGGGTACTGGAGGCACCTGATCAACGTTTCTCTCTTTGATGTTTCTCTCTGTCTCCCTCCCCCTTCTTCTCTCTGAACTCAATTAAAAAAAATTTTTTTTTTAAAATTAAAAACAGAGAGAGATGGAAGAATACATTCCCAAAGTGTGTTTGGGGTTCTTCTGAGTTGAAAGGGGCTAACACTAGTTAGTGTTTCAATGGGGGTGGGGGTGCCCCCTCCTAAATCTTAACCGTGTCCAGTCTGCTCTCCAGTAAAGCACAAACCCCCTCTCCCCCCTGCCTTGTCCAGCTGTGGTTTGCTGGCCTCATCATTCAACCACGTGTGGTGGTCTCCCTGCTTCTGTCCACGGCGTCAGCTGTGGGACCTTCTCTCTCCCTGTCTCCCCCTCTCAGTCCTTCCTGGGTTTCTCTGAGAAGAGGATTTCCCCGGGACCCCAACAAGTACCCCCCCCAACCTCTATTTTTAAAAATATATATTTTATTGATTTTTTACAGAGAGGAAGAAAGAGGGATAGAGAGTCAGAAACATCGATGAGAGAGAATCATCAGTCAGCTGCCTCGTGCACACCCCCTACTGGGGATGTGCCCGCAACCAAGGTACATGCCCTTGACTGGAATTGAACCTGAGACCTTGAAGTCCACAGGCCGACGCTCTATCCACTGAGCCAAACCAGTTTCGGCCCCCCACCTCTATTATCTAGAAAGATTTCTTCCCCAAGCCCTCTCTCGCATCTGAGCCTCAGAAATGTGCGTGTCTCCCTTCCTGGGCAGAGGAGTCCCGCGTCTGGGTTTCCTTCTTATGTCCGAGCCGTGCGGACCGGGTTAACTGGGAGGCCTGCCCGGAACCGACGCGGCTGATGCTTCGCAGATGGTCAGACGGCCAGGGCCAGAACATCTTCCAAGTGGAAAGCTTTTGGCTTTTGCAGACTTATTCATCACGAAACCTAAAATTACTCCCGCGGCTCGCTTTTTCCGGCCCAGATATTTCTGGTTCTGTTTTGGGAATGTAAGCGTAATTATAAGTGTAGCCGGGCAGATGTGCACTTGGGGTTCACCAATGAGAGGCCTGATAGAAAATGTGGCCCTTGTCACGGTAATTACTGTTTATAGAGAAGTCTTGAGATTTTTGTCCAGCCTAGGCCTTGGTTTGGGGGACAGGGTGAGGAAAGGGGGACCTAAAACTATAATTAGCTCTTCTTTTTTCCAGTAAGGGTCATGCTTTGTATTGGTTACTTTTTAACCTTCTCGGATGTGTTTGAAAATATTTTGGCATACTATATATATTGTATATATATATATATATATATATATATATATATATATATACACACACACACACACACACACACATACACACACATATACATCTACACCCACACCCACACCCCCACACACACACTCACACGAGTGGCCAGATGATTATGATCTCTGAACACATAATAATCTGGCCACTGTGTGTGTGTGTGTGTGTGTGTGTGCATGTGCGTGTGCACTGGGACTCAAATATACATAGAGGAGTCCCCCTTCTCTCCTCCGTGGGACTCCCATGTCCTTCTGCCCTGTGCATGTGGTGGCCTCTATTGTAATTCTGTCTCTCCCCCCCACTCACCTAGACGTGTGGCGAGGGCCACAGACACCCCGCTTTCTTCAGGAACGTGTCCCTGGCCCCGGTGCGATGAACGTTTGCATTATTCAAGAGTTTATTCCCCGAGATGACTCCGTACCAAGCTCGCTCTGAGGGAGCTCATTCCTCCCTTTTCTTTCCGTTCCCTGCAGCTCTTTGACCTCGATGAGGACGGCTACATCTCAGAGGAGGAGTTTTCCACCATTCTGCAGGCTTCCCTCGGGGTGCCTGACCTCGACGGCTCTGGTCTCTTCAAGGAGATAGCCCAGGGGGACTCTGTGTCCTATGGTGAGTAGGCAGTTGGGCGCCTGACTCAGTTTACAAGGAGGGCATCGGACTGTGGACTGACTCTCAGACAGGGGTATTGTTGCTTTCCACTAATTTTATTGACAGTAGAAATGATGATGATGATGATGATGATAATGATGATGGTAGTACTAGTAGTTGTAGTGATAGTAGTTATTCATTGAGAACATGCCATATGCTATGTGGTCTTCTAAACATTGTATACAGAGTAACTCATTTATATTATTTATATATTAGAGGCCTGGTGCATGAATTCGTGCATGGGTGGGGTCTGGCCAGCCTGGCCCAGGGGAGGGGACATGGGCAGTTGGCCAGCCTGCCTGCTAGTTGAGCTCCTGGTTGAGGGGACAATTTGCATATTACCATTTTATTATATAGGATGTACACTTAATGGCCAGATTACTATGTGTTCAGAGATCATCATAATCTGACCAATCAGTGTAAAGTCGCCTATGAATGCAAATACTCTTGTGGTTGCAAAGAATGACTTGGGCTCTGTCTGGTGACGTCCTCATCCTCAAGACCTGTTCCATCTTCAAGCATTCCTGAGTCTTCTCATTGTGCTGTGAAGCAGGCTCCTGGCTATCACAGGGTTAAAAAGTAAATCAACGGGTAGAAATAGGACATTGGGTTCACATCCCTTCTTCATAGGCCCACAGAGCAAGCAGATTCAAAGACCAGGTTCCCTTGGCCAAACAAGCTCCATCAGCTTCCCTCCATTTCCATTTTGCCCGAGTTTTCGGAATTTATAGAACAGACTCGGACACATGGTATTCATTTGTATCTGGCTCGTTTCATTCAGCACAGCGGCTTCAAGAGGCATCTATATCTTTGTCCCTTCATTGTCACCACCTTACAGCATCATGTGCCATGAACACGTCTACATGTAGTTAGCCATGTCCGCTGTTGACAAACACGTGCTCTCTGTCCATGTTTTTACCTCCAACTAATAATGTTCCCCTGGGATTCTCATCCGTGTCTCCCTGGACACACGAGGCATCCATGTCTCTAGGTTCTGTACACGTTGGGGATAGAATTAGTGGGTCACAGGACGTGCATGTCTTTCAACTTCACTAAGTCCTGGGAACGCGTCTTCCCAAGTAGTTGTCCAAATTTAGGAGGGTTGAGTCATAGGCGTTGGAAGTGATTATCTTATTAAAGTCATGTGCCAAGAGAATCTCCACCTCCACTTACTGGGCTTGGTTTCCTTCCTTCTTCCAGAGGAATTTAAAAGCTTTGCCCTCAAGCACCCGGAATACGCGAGGATCTTTACGACGTACCTGGAACTGCAGGCCGGCCACGTGTTCTCCTTACCGGAGCCGGGCACCGCAGCGCCCGCCACGGCCAGCAACAAAGTCAGTCCCGAGAGCCACGCCGAAAGCCCCTCAGATAAGAAAGAGGACTGAGAGACGCATGCCCGGCACGGAGGGCAGAGCGGCTGTTCCCTGGGATCCAGACAGCATGGATCATAAATATAATTTATTGACTCATGGTGATGTATAAACTGGAAAACTTAGCCCTGGCTGGGTGGCTCCGTTGGTTGACCATCCTGCCATGCACCAAAAGGTTTCAGGGCACATGCCTATGTTGTGGGTTCAATCCTGTGTTGGGTGGGGTGTGTGCAGGGGTGAGCAATCGATCTATGTTTCTCATATCAATATTTTTCTCTCTCTCAAATCAATAGAAATATATCCTCGGGTGAGGATTACATTTTTAAAAATTTTAAATGGAAATGTTTTTTATAAAAAAAGGATAGTTTTTATTAAGATGCTTTCATTCACATGTATAGGTCAAGTAACGTATTTTTTCCTGCCATATTGTACTGTACGGACTGGCTTACTGGTGATAAGCATGTTTTTGCAGATTTTCCCATTGAGTTTGCACATCCAAATGAATGAAGTATATTCCCTTCCTGGAGCATATTCATCCACACGGTGAAGAGTTTTCTAAGGAAACATAAGTACTGTTTTGTCATCTCTAGTCCCTTTCCACTCTGGAAATAAGAATGAAGAATCTGAGGGACAGTGCAGAATTTTTTACCTTCGATTTTACAGATTATTCCCCCCTGAGCCCCTATTTCCAGTTTCTTGGATCAGTGACTGTGGTTGGATCAGCAAGGAGAACTCCCTTTAACGAGACGAGGCCCTTAACAATCCCTGCTTCCTTCCACCTCACCCCCAAACCCCCAGCTGAGGGGAGTCAGACCCTTTTGCACTGTCCGCTGATGGAGAACATTATTTCACAGGCGGCCGCCGTGGCCACGGGCGCAGTGGGAATTGCCTTATTGAAGGAGCATTGATCGCCTAATGAGAAAATGAATCGTGTGCCGCAGAGTGTAGTTTCATTTGAGCCGGACAGCTTAGAACGTAGCTCTTGCCAGTAAATGAACCCGATTTCGCCTGCTGATATGATATTAGGATTCATAGCGTGACTGTGCAAGTGGAGTTGTGTTTTGTTATCTGTCCGCTCGAGTTTTAGAACTAGTCTAAGGTACCTACAGTACCGGGAAAGCACAAAGGGTTCTGAGGCAGCGGTCAGCAAACTGCGGCTCGCGAGCCACATGCGGCTCTTTGGCTGTTGGCCTGTGGCTCTTCCACAAAATACCACGGCCTGGGCGATTCTATTTTGAAGAAGTGGCGTTAGAAGAAGTTTAACAAATGTGACTCTTCAAAGAAATGTCAGTCATTGTACTGTTGATATTTGGCTCTGGATTAATGAGTTTGCCGACCACTAGGTTAACCAATCACTTCCCTCTCCTGCCATTTTTATTGGATGCCACGCATGTACCATAGTTTGTCAATATGGTTTATGTTGGAAATTTTGAACAGAGAACCGATTTTTTTCAGAATGCATCAGAATGAGTTGGTGCAGACTCTGAATTTAGTCTTTGCATTTAAACACGTGGTTTTGCTTATGTGTCTGAAGATCATGGCGAGTCACTCCCAAGCCAGTGTGCTACGAGAGAGAGATGTTGGCATTTCTATTTAATCAGGAGTCATGACCTTAAACTAGCTCACATATTAAGCACTTGCGTGTTCTAATTTAATGAGTACATGTGTGTTTGAATAATTGCTTACTAGAAACTTTGTCAGAATATATATATATAATCGTTTGCTTTTTATGTATTTTAAAGCTACTTAGACAAAAAGCATTGAATGGACTGGAAACAATTGCTGAAGGAATTAAAAAAGTCTTAAGTTTCCAATAGTGTTTGTCATCTGCAATTGAATGTATGTAATACTCAGGTACCATGACTATTTTTTTTTTTATATCATAGAAAAGCCACATGTTAATCCTTCTGGTCATGAAAAAAGTATCATTGAAAATTAAAAGCTTTATATGAGGCTCTAGGAAGTGACCCCATTCGTTGTCTGCCTGTTTTAAAATAACATTGTATGCCCTTTAATTCCACTTCTGCCAATGTAATATTCCTATTTTATGACGATACTGAGCAAACAGAACTGCTACCTAAAATCGTGGCCATTAAAAAAAAAGTCTGGTTTTGCTCTTTTTTGTCTCAAACATAATAGGCCTTTTTAATATTGTGGTCTGAACCTGTTTGCATATTTATGAATATGGTTAATCCTCTTTGTTTGCATTGAAGCTTTAGGAAATGTCAGGCATGACTTTAATGAAAAAACTCAACATTTTAGCCAAGGGTGCAAAAGTTGGCTTTTGACTGGTGCGAGGTGTGCAGCAGCCTAAGCCGTGATCCTTGGTGTTATTCGGACGAGGCCTCTACTTTTACGGCACCTTAACCAAATCCTCTTTTAAAGAGGCCTTTCTCCACTTGGGATGGATAGTAAGGAACTGCATTTCATGGAGATGTGATTCACACACCGTACCATTCAGTGCCCCTTTTTTATGGCATATTCAGAGAATTGTGCAACCATCTAACTTTTAAATGTTCTAATAGGAACCTCCCATCACCTAATGTCAAAAGCCCACTCAGTCCCTGCAGCCCTTCTCAATCGTGATTGCTTTTACACGTGTGTGAAGTGATCTGTTTATATGTGCGTCGTCTGTTATTCCTAGGACTGAGATGCTCCTGACACAAAGGAAGCGCTCAGTATGTGGTGAGTGGATGAGTAAGACAATGCTGTCTTCCCTTGCATGTCTGCCTTGCGTTGTATTAGCATAGCGATCGTCTTTACAACGAACCAGAAACCCGGGATTATGTAGAAACCCACATAGACATGAAGGCTCAGAAAGGTTTCCTCACTGCTCAGGGTTACGTAACTGGTGCGTCCCAGGGCTGGAATGCAAACCCGAGGCCGTCTGGCTCCACGTGTGGGGACTTCTGTTTCGGCCAAGGTAACCTGAACCCTCAATCACTAAAGAATGACAAGGCCGGCTTCGGGTTCCAGAAGCATGGCAACGAGAGCATCGGAGAGCCCTGTGGCCACAAAACCCCTGGCGTGCCAAGCAGAGCATCACCAACGTATTCGGAAAGCTTGGCTGAGTGTGAAAGACACGAAGGGAAACCCGTCAAGGCCAAGCAATGAAAAGGGAGCCGAAAACCAGCCCTGGGAGAAGGCAGGGAAGGTACGGTGGGCCTGTGGACACCGGCTAATCTCTGGAAGAAGGAGGATTCATATTTCGTGGCGACGGGAGACAGAAGACGAGGATTTTCTGTGATTGGGGGGTGAGACTTGGAGCTGGGGCCTCGGGGAAGGAAACAAGCAGCCACTTGAAGGACCATGCTCAGTAAAAGAAGGAACTAGAAAACTCACCCTCTGAGAAAGGAAAACAGCGAGGAAAGGTGTCTGCCTTGGCCTGGGTGTTAGGTCGAGGCCGCAAACCTTTTTTTAAAATTTCAGTTCTTTAACATGTTGTAAGACTCATTTCGTGGCCCAGCCAAGTGTGTATCGTGGTGAATGTCCCATGTGTACTTGAAAAGAACGTGTATCCTGCAATTGCTGGGTGTAATGTTCTATAAATACCGGTTAGATCTAGTTTGTTGATAGTCCTGCATCCTTCTTTATCCTCTCTGATTTTTTTGTTTACCCCTCCTATTAATTATTGAAGGAGGTTAAGACGTCCAGCTGCAATTGTGATTTGATCCACTGCCAGTTTGTCTGAAGTTCTGCCCTAGGTCATGATTATTTCTTATTGTTCTGTCATCTTGATGAACTGGCCTTTGGACCGTGATGAATATTCCTTTTTAACTCCAGTCACACTCTTCGTCCTGTTGTTACCGTTGCCCCTTGAATCACGCCAACTTTCTTAGGGTTAGTCATTTTTCTCTTAACCGACCTGTGTTTTAGTATTTAATAGGCATCTCTTAAGGATTTCATGGTCCATGTGTGTCTTGGAACTGGGACCCAGGGAGAGGTCCCAGGGTCCCAGAGGCATTTTTGTATTGTCTGACAATTTCTGTATTTTTTTGAGCATGTTTTTATTGATTTTAGAGAGAGAGGAAATGAGAGGGAGAGAGAGCGAAACATCGATGTGAGACAGAAACATCAATTAGTTGCCTCCTGCACACTCCCTAGTAGGAATTGAGCCCACAACCCGGGCATGTGCCCTGATCATGAATTGAACCGGTGACCTCAGTGCATGGGACGATTCCCAAACAACTGAGCCACACCAGCCAGGGCTCATTTCCATCTTCCAGTGGGAACATTTAGCTTACTTCTGTTTACTGTAATCATCGGTATGATTGGCTTGAATCCACTGTCTTTCGTTTTGTTTTCCATTTCATCTGTTCTTTGACCTTTTCTCCGCCTTTCCTGGCTTATTTTGGATTAAACCATTTTTTAACCATGTTGTCATTTTATACTCTCTTTTGGCTCATTAGCTAGCCATACTTATTTGCGTACTGTGAGTGGTTGTTCCGGAGTTTACAATGCACATCTTTCTTTTGATGTAACAGGAACCTCCCAACAAGATGCTCCCATCTGACCCTCTCTCATCACGTGTGCTGCTGTCCTATTTCTTCTACGGGTTCTTAACTCCACGGATATTATCATTCTTATTCTCAGCAGTCAAGTCAAAATGCATGGGGAAGGGTCTATGTATCAGCATGTTTGCTATTTCTGTCGCTCTGTATTTCTTCGTGCAATGCCAACATTTTTTCCCGTTGGATGTCTTAGAACCATTCTTGTGCAAGTCTCCTGACAACGAGCTCTCAGCTTCCTTTTCTCCAGACGTGTCTATTTTTGCCGTCGTTGGATCGGAATATTTCCCGAATACAGAGTTCCAGGTTGACTTTTTCCTTTTAGCACTTTTATCGTCTGTGATGAGAAGTTAAAGTTGTTCTCTTCATCATTCTCTTGGATATAATGCATTTTTCTCATCCAGCTCCTTTTAACATTTTTTTTTTCTTTAATACTAGTGCTGAGAAGTTCTATTCTGTTCCCCCTTTGCATGATTTTTAAAAATACATATTTTATTGATTTCTTTATAGAACGGAAGGGAGAAGGATAGAAAGTTAGAAACATCAATCAGCTGCCTCCTTCACACCCCCTACTGGAGATGTGCACGCAACCGAGGCACATGCCCTTGACTGGATTCAAACCTGGGACCCTTCGGTCCTCAGGCCGAAGCTCTATCCACTGAGCCAAACTGGTTAGGGCCCAGGACAATTTTTTTTATTCTCAAGTCTGTTATTTAACAACTTTAGCTCTACCTGCAGCCTCAATTCCCCTTCGCCCTGGAAGGCAGCGTAATCCTGTTTTCGCTGCCAGGGTCATAGGTGTAACTGTAAGGAACTAACAGCGTTTATCCCAAAGCCCCTGTGCCAACCTACACTCCCATCGGCAGCAGGTGGAAACGCCAACGGCCCTGCCACGCCGGAGCTGCGCAGAGAGCCACCGAGGGGAGAGATGGGAGAGGACCCGGGACACCCCTGAGGGGAGAAGTGACAGCGCGACCTTGAACGAAGGAGACCCCCTGTGCTCGATTTCTTTATAGAACGGAAGGGAGAAGGATAGAAAGTTAGAAACATCTCGTG